ACATATCACATGAGTATAATGGTCTTCCGCTAATAAGCACGATAGGGAGAGCCGTGGTATTCAGACGCTCAGAATGTGCTTCAAGTACCCTGATGACAGAGTTGCATATCGCTCAGCCACATCACAACGTGCTACCATCAATATCACTGTATGTGAAGTACGTAGAAACCTCTATGCATATCTGCTAAATAGATCTCTCCTTACTCAAGTCTGTTTGCAATGTGAGGGAAGGTTCCAATCGCTCATTTTAGTGCTGATTGTATTGTTGGGTTCCTACCCTTCTCGGTCAGTGCCATGTTGACCCAAGCTTATAGATGCCTATGCATTTTGTACAGGGGTATGTATTGTGTATGATCGCGAAATTCTGTCTCAACTGAATGGAAGGTCATTTTTCTGCTATTTTACTATGATATTCCTCCAAAAAACAGACTCTGCGCACTTCCTATCGCTATACCTCCCCAAGCAATCACGCTGATACTACCACCCTACATATCTACGACCTTCAGCTTTCTATCTACCCATCTCCCAATTCTTGTGCCACCCTGTGGCCTCGGTAACGCAGGAGAGCCGCAATTCTGTCGCCTCCTTCGGGCGCTTATCGCACGTGGTGCGCTATTTTATGCGGTCACTGTAAGTCAACGAGTACTTAGGACATGCCAGTCTCATGAAGATGTCAACGCGTTGCATTGTATGGAACTTTGAGGGTCTATGTTATGGCGCAGGAAGCTCCATCCCAGATATGAAATCTACAAGGTCGAAGGGACTGCCAACTCATGACCAGATACATTAGTTGAACGTGAGTAGCGGCTTCAAAACAATTATGTACAGGCCGCGATCATACAGGTTCACCAGTCTGTCACATCTCTTGGTCTTTCTTCATCGATTGTTATGGGGAATATGAGACAAGAGGTCGTCACAGAGCGGAGAGGACAGAGTAGTTGTAGGAGGAAACCGACATCGTAGACACAACCATGATTCAGTACCTCCATGAGAATGGATCCGAACTACCGCAAAGAGAGCAGGAAGACCGTGCCATATAAGGCATGCGGTAAGACGATCCGATCGGTGGGGAGAATCGCGGAGGCTTCGTGCTTGCATTCGCAGAGGTCAATTCGATTTAGCAATGCGAGTGCAGTAATCGCGTCGACTTGAGGATCTTCGGACGCCAGCTTGACAAGCACGGCATTATATGTATTGCATTTGTCCACGTTCCACTGACATATATAGTGATGACACGCTGACGTTGACTGTACAATTCATTGTCTAGTTGAAGCATCGGTCAAGACAAGGGCGGAAGCAGATGCCCCGCGCGTTGGTCGATGAATACCAAATTCAGAGATGGACAAAAGGATTACACCTGTGGTATTCCAATATGCGTCATTGCCTCGATGTCTGGCTTTCGTGACGATCGGGCGGCGTAAGCACGTCTTACTCTGTGACCGGAAGCGAAGGTGATGACGATGGTCGGGGCACAGCCAAGCGACTAGCGAGCACCAGACATGGCTCCGGCCACGACAGAGTTTCCCCTAGGATCACATGGACGCTGCGACCACGTAAACATATAGGGTGGGCTGAATGTGGGTGCACGGTCAGGCAGCGCAGATGTGGTGCGAAGGTGAGTCGATGGGCGGCGCAGGGGGTTCTAGCGTGGGGTCGCCATCGGGCGCAGGTAAATCCGTCGCGTCACGCACCCGCTCTTCACCCAACCGTCACCGCCAGCTCTTCCTACTATGGCCCTTCCCTTACCTTAACCGTCAGCACGCGTAACCACTCCAGTCTTGTTGACGACATCCATGACCGCATTGCGGCACCCGCGAGGCCTATATAAACCTCAGGATCGCTGCTCACCTCACTCAGACATACACACACTCCCCACAACCAATCATACCAACTCTTCTCTCCACAATGCCCGGATACCAGGTCAGAGCTTGTCGCTTTCCGCGTGCATCTCTGTGACACTGACCACCTGTGCAGAAAGGCGACCAGGTTGAATACCGCCCCATCGGTGGCGCTGAGGAGAACGTTGCCCACTCGACCGGTGTCGTCGAGGACGTCTTCGAAAATGAGGACGGCGTAAGTTTTGTTTATGATTTGTCATGGCTCGAGTCCTGACATCTGACGCCTGCGCGTGTTTGCAGCAGACCCGTTATGCAATCAAGAATGACAACACGGGCAAGTCCACCAACTACCAAGTGAGTTCCTGTGTCGATATCTCCGCCATTTTTATACTCACAAACTCGTAGGAGATGAACATTGTTCGCAAGATCTGAAGGAGTGGAACTGCAATCAGCATCGTAGCCGTGTACCATTATCATGTAGCTTACCGTCAGAATGTAGTCGCCCTTGAATCATGGAACCCTCGTTTTTCGTGCCATGGTTGGCTTCATATGCGATAGTGAGGTCGTTCACGCAATGGCTGATACAGCCAAGACGTCTTCAACTGGCAGTCTCTTTTGGAGAGAAGCGTGCACAAAGTGGGTGTGTGATGTGAGCAGACGTCACCCCACCTCAACTTCACCTATGCACCCGTAGGTCATCGTTGCACAGCAGTTCGTAGAGGGGAGATCGATTGAGCAATCACCCCCATGACGCTGACTTGCTTCCACAGCCTCAATTTCTTTGCATCGCACCGGAAGCGTACAGTATAATCGTGATAGACACGAAGGTATAGCAGCAGCATTGCTTCATATCCGAGCTTCCTTCTGCTTGCGAGCGAATGCTTCTCGGCATTGATAATGCGTCACCTCACCGCTGCCGGCAACGTCGTTAGCGGCGACAACATAACAGGGTGAGAGACGATGTCACTCACTGAGGCGCATGGACGGCAATGACGCTGCCACCTAGACGTTTATGGCACTGTGGACAACTATGCCGGGACGGTCAGAAAGGGTACCGAGCAAGGGAGTCGTGGGCACTCACATCCTACTCTCCGTGATCCTCACACGCTTCGACTGCAGCGCTATGAGTCTCCGCGCAACCTGCTCTTGGCGTGCCTTGGCGACGTTGCGCACGACGCGCGTGTCAAACAGCGGCTCCCGCAGCGCCTCGAGCAGGAACGCGCCCACGTCCTGCGCCGTCACCAGCGGCGGGAGGAGCTGCAGCGTCGCGACGGGGTCCAGGCGCGGGCTGTGCCGGCTGATGAGCTCGAGCGCGGGCGGGAGGAGGCTCGCTGCGGGCGGCGCGGCGGGGCCCGGGAGGAGGTAGATGCGGAGGAGGGTGAGGAAGACGGCGGCGGTGGGCGAGCCGGCGCCGGGCTGGTACACGCGCTTGCAGTACTCCTCCGCCTTGGGGAAGTCTTGCAGGCGGTAGACGTAGACTTCGAGGGCGCTGTCGTGGCGGCCGAGCCGGCCGAGGAGGAGGGCCTTGGCCTCGAAGAGGTCTGTGGGAGGTGTGAGCGCGGGGGCCTTGTCGGGATGGAACGAGTGTATACGTACCTTCGGAAGGGAGCATGGCGAACAGGCGGTCGGCTGAGTAGTGGTCGGTGGTGTCAATGAACTTCAGGAGCCTCTCGTACACCGATTTGCGCGCGCCGTCGTCCCCCCGACTCTTCGCGGCCATGGTCATGCGGAGGTACAGCTCGGCGAGACGATCGTGGAACTCCTGCGATGTCTCTCCGCGTTCGGATATGAGGAACTCGATGTACCGAGCACAGATGGCCGGATCCAGGCGCTCGAGGAAGTCTGCTGTGGGTCCTTTCGGTAGCTCGACCTCCTCGGAGGTGAAGATCTATACGACGGTCAGCTGACTTCGCATACGTCGCACAGTCCTGGACGGACCTCGAAGGCGATGTCACGATCCTGCTCGAACGCCCATCTCGAGTGCTCGAATATCAGATCTATATGCTCCGGACCAAGGCGCTGTAGGTAGTTGACGGTGGGCATGAGTATATCACGCGGGTCCGACTCCTTCTCGCTCAGTCTACGTTGGTGCGTCAGCTACCGAAACATACGGACCAACAAGTGGCTGCTCACTGTCGGAGGAGATCAAGTGCCTTGCCATGCATCTTCCTGCCGTTGTACAACGAGATCATCTCTTGGTATTTCTGTGTGATGTATGGTGGTAAGCAACTTCCCATGTGTGCATTGCGGAGCCGGAAGTCACCTCACGTTCACGGAGGAGCTCCTCGACCTCCGACACCTCACACCAGCCGACACGACAGAGCGGTCCGAGCAACCCTGGACGAACGAGCAAATACGACTTGAAAAGCGCCGTGTCGACTATCTGCGCAAACCGCACGAGTTCTTCTGGAGTGAGCGCAGACAACGGGGCGTTGGGGAGGTTAAGCAGGTCCTCGACGGACGTCGTAGATAAGTGTGGCATCTCGTGCGACTGAGTCGGGGTGATGTGGAACGCAGACAGTGCGCCCGCGATCTTGGGCCGGCGGTCGGAGAGGTAACGCATGAGCGTCTCAATCGAGCGGTGGAAGTTGTCTGGCAATCTTTAGTGAGCATTGTTAACGCTTCTGGAGTTGCAGTCTGAACGCGCGTACCGGGTCTGGGTGGGCGACGTACGCTTCGTATTGAAGCTGCGTCGTCGTCCTTCGCCGCAGAAACGAGCCCTTCCAATCCGGTCTTGAGCACACCCCGAATCGAGCCTTGGGGAGTCGGAGCCCGCGGTGGAGAGCCTACGCTGGACGAAGCCCCTTCCTGGTCCGGCTTCTGAGGATCCTCGGCTTTCGCTGCTGGTTCTGGCGGAGATGCGAACTGATCCCGCTTCTTCGGCTTCGGCCCGCCGTACAGAGGTATCCACTCATCCTGAGGCACCGAGAGCCGTCCTGCGATGCTCTCTGGATATAACGCGACTACTTTTGCAGGGTTGACATCGAGCTCGAGGAAGGCGTCGATGGCCTGGTCGTACTTCGCACTCCGGAAGTAGTCCACGGCTTGGAGGGCACGAATTTGCTTGTGTCTTTGTTCCTGATCCCTCGTACTGAGTGAACAGTCGTACAATAAAAGATGCTAATCAGATTCACCTTGTCGGCGACGAGAGCAGAGTCGAGTGATTCTAGAAGCGAGAGGGCATCTGCGTACGCTCCTGCGTCCACGAGCTCGTCGACTTGCTGGTTCCACGGCTTCATGCGGAAGCACCATATCGCGCTGCCGCTGTTGGTTGCTGCCGTCCGGTCGAGGGGCGTACTGACGACAAAGAGAGGAGCCTTCGCGGATGGCGAAGGGGTCAATAGGCGGATCGTATGTGTGGCCACCGTAGCGAATGCGGTGAGAGGACCAGGGGGGAAGGGTATCGTCTGGACCGGAGAGAGGGATATAGATGATCGGATCTCAATTACTGGGGTTGCGATGAACGTAGACGCCCCCGGGACGCTGTCCAGTTGAGACGCAGGCACCGTGCCCGGGGGGAGTATTGCGAAGACGTAGGGTTTGACGAGGGCTGTGATCTCATATGTTCATAACGACCGGATGGTACCTGCTGAGGCCACGCACCTATCTCGTCTGGTGGTGCTGGCCAATCGATTGACTCGTTCCTTAGAGGCTTACCGTCAGCTCCCACCAAAAACCCATTATCTTGCGCATGTCAGGGGGTGATACTGCAATCGTGACGAAATGAGCACTCACTGTCCTTCGCAATCAATGCTTCGACATCATTCACGCCTGTCACATTAGGTTTTGCCTTCGCCCCCAAGCCTAGGGTCATATAGCCACCGAGTCCGGAGAGCGCGCCCATGCCCATAGTGCTAATGCCGCTCCCTGAGGTGACAGGGGGAATAGGGGTAGTGACATCGACGGTGACGGACGTCTTTAGCGAGGTAATGCAGTAATCTGTCGGCGTGTGTCCCCAGCACAACGTCTCCCCATTGACAAAGGCGATTGCCCTCGGGGAGTGCGCCAAGGCGGTTATTTCCTACGCCCTTTCAATGGTCTATCTAGGAATAAGACGGTATAGACGCACTTGAGGTTCCTGAGGCTCGCCATCTCTCCATGAATAGAGCACGATCTTTCGCTTGCATCCAACGGCGAGCTTCGTCACCAGGGCCGGTACGCCCTTGCCCTTCCCCGGGATGCCAGGACTCGAAGGAATGATGACATCGCCATCCAGGTACTCAACTCCGGTGCGTAGCGCAAAGCAAAGGGCACCTTTGGTCTTGACGAGGGGCGTTGGAGGGGAAAAGACAGGGGAAGGGAAGAGAGTGAGCTGTGCCTCTGCGCGGTAACGCGTCCGATCAAGTTGTGCTCTTGGGCTGCCCGAGATGAGGTCTTACCGGATAGAACGAGCAGGGAATTCACGTCCTTGATATATGCTAGCTGATCGATGCTCCTTCTGCACAGCGACTTCCTAGTGTCCACGAGCTCCACAAGGGAGTCTGGGTCCACGGTTTAGCGTATGCAGACTCCCGCAAGGACAGTCCTAGTAGATACCTGAGGTCTCCTCAAAGGAGTACACGTGTAGGTTCCCAGTAGACGTTCCAATGTATAGTCTGTCGGCTGAGAGCGCCGTCAGGTAGAGTTTACACGTGAAACATGGCATGGATATGCACCGTGGACGGTCAGAGACTCGGCGCGCTCCTTGAAACCATCCAGGACCACTTCAGGAGCGTTGAAAGGACCACCCATTGCCTAGGCGAGCGCGTCGGTCAAAGTAACATTCAGCAGCACCAGAACTAGGTGAGAGGAAAGGCAAGGCTGATCCGGAATGTTGAGGTACGTACGATGCAGGGCCCAAGCTGCGTGCCCGAAACTCTCGGAGTCCGTACAACGCGGTCCGGCTGGTGCGACGTCACTCTGTTTCGTGCTGCATATGCGCGCTTCCCAATACAGCGTAGTGACAGCCAATCTCTATGCACCAGCATTAACGGCCATGGTGTGTCCATGCTCCTCAACACATTATTACAAGCTTGACAGTCGCACGATTCGTCGTGAGGGCTGAGCATCAAGAAGTATCCAAGCACGTATGCAGACCGGCGATTCGCGACGTCCCAAATCAGCGCACCGCATCTCCCATTCAGCACCCGCATTGCACATGTCAACAGCTATCGGTACAGACGCGGGATCCCATACGATGGAGATAGAACGTGAATGCTACATAAAAGATCACCTATATGGACACGACGCCAAGCAGACCCATACAGTACGCGTATGATACAGAAGCCTGCCGTCGCCCGGCGCGTAGCATAGACCTAAGCAGACACAGTACATTTTGGCCTGGCCACGCGGTCAGGGGAGACTCGTCCGTCGGGCTGGCGGAGAGCCCGAGAGCAGTTGCAATCGTAAACCAAGACAAGGTAAACACACACGCACATCCACCCAACAGAAGCGCGAACTCCATCACCCTATGCCCCGGAATCCCTCCTGACCCCAGTCCCATTCGGCCGGTACATGTACTGGTGCTGCGTTGAGCTGTGGGAAGACGTCGGTCGCTGTGCATTCGTAGCGGCAGCGGCAGCGGCGCCATACGACTGTGTCTGCGTTGGCCGAGGTCGGTAGTAATTGGTACTATTGCGTGGGTCCGCGCCTGTCGCCGGGGCAGGAGGTGTGGGACTCGGGATGATAGAGGACGAGCTTGCCATTGTGGGGAGTGGCCATGGCAAATTCGACGCAGTGGTTGGGGGAGGAGCTGCTGGAGCAGCCGCAGTTCGCGGGGGAGGCATTATGTTCGTGGACTGTGAGGGCGGACGTTGCGGCTGCATCGCCGGTGACGCGTTGATTGAGGTCGGTGTCGAGTTCATGGGGCTACGAGTTGGGGACACGGCGCTCGCTGGAGCACTGGGCGGAGGAACGTGTTGTTGTTGCTGTTGTTGAGGCGGAGGTGGCGGGGGATGCGCGGCTTCTGTATGCGCGGAATCGGGTTCTCGTCGTCGCTTCGTTCCCCGCGTTGAGCTCTCCTTTAGGCCAAGCGCGGTTGCCTTGAGCAGAATTTGATGTCTGTGACGTACCTTTTCAATATATCTTACAAGAAGCGGTGAGCTAGGGGAACTTACCTTGTTCGGCTGTTACCCCATTGCTGGATTACCCAGTCCCATTCAATCTCCCCTTTGTTCTGTCCCCCGCCCATCTCACGGCTCCGTTCCGCAAGTCTCTTCAACCTGTCGGTCTCCTCTTCTGACCACGTTCCTTGGTGACCACCAGGCGCCACGTTACCAGTTGCAGCGCTGAACGTCGAGATAGTGCCGGTATTTGTCGGGATGGCCGGCGAAGGGGTAGGCGGGCTTGCCTGCGGGGCTGGTTGCGGAGTCGGCGTCGGTACTGGCGCAGGTACTGGAGGTGGAGGTGGGGCCGCAGCTGGAGCGGGCGCTGGAGCGGAAGCTTGGACGGCGGGAGGGCTTGCGGCTGGGGCAGGCGGTGCAGAAGCAGGGTAGTACGGCGTAGCACCTTGGGGAGGAGGATAGTAGTAAGGTGCGGTAGGGTATCTTGAGCCGGGGGGTGGAGCATACACTGCTGGGTAGTACGGCTGTGGCGGCGGAGGGACAGAGGAATTCAGGGGCATGACGAAGGTTTGCGGGTTGGTGATGACGGAACCGGCAGAAGGGGCGGGACCGGCGGCGGCAGCAGCGCCTGGAGGGGGAGGGGGAGGCATGCTCGAGTAGCTTGGGTACGTTGGCGCAGGAACAGGCTGGCCGACCAATTGGCTCGGATTCGCGAGCTACGGCGGGGTGAGGACATGTTCGCGACAACAATGGGACGTGCGTACGAGATTGTCACAAACGCGTTTCGCGTCTGCAATCATTAAGAGAGGATCGACCTTCGACGAGGGGCCCAACTGGTAACACTGCGCGATGACCATCGGAGATGCTGCTTTCTGCGAGAGTAGCATACCGATTCAGGTACCCATGATGACGGAAGACATATGGCATTACGTACGACCAGTTCCTCCGCGGCATTGTAGAACTCAGAGCATAAGTTCAAGGCTCTCCATTGGAACTCGTAGAACTGCTGGTTTTGCTGCGAGATATTCGTTGGAGCAGGAGGGTACTGATAGAAGCCCGGATGTTGCGAGTTGGTGGGAGCCTTGGTCGCACTTCCGGACGAGACCCGGGGTTTGCGGTTGCGGGAGCCACGAGGACGGCCTGGCTTGCGCTTCTCGGTGGCATCGTCGTTGTTAGCGGAGGGGGCGCGCTCCTGCTGGGAGACGGCCTGCCTGTAGTCTGCAGAGGCGGTCGCAGAGGCCGCGCTTCTGAGATGAAAGGGAGAGGTCAGAGCCGGGCTCGAGGCCGAATCTAGATCGGGCAATACGCACCCCGTCGAGCTCGATTGGGTCTGAGCAGCGTTGACGCGAGGAGAAGAGTGGCTGCTGGCCGACTGGCGGGGGTGATCCGCGTCGTGGTGCTCGACCTCTTCCTCGACGACCTCCTCGTCGTCGTCCTCTTCCTCCTCTTCCTCTTCACGATGACCAGAGCCGGCGCCATTCGTCACGGGGTGCTGTTGATGGGGGGCGTAGTGGGCATACGACTGGCGGGGAGAGGTGTGAGATGTGGACACCAGAGGGGCATGAAGAGCGTGCGAGAGGGGTTGATAATATTGCGGATTGTCCATGATTTTCTGGTTGGCCTATATGATAAAAGCCCAGAGATGGGTGTAACGCTGCGAGCGGAGAGCAGCAATCGATGTCGACAACAGCAACCAAACCCCGTGGGAACGCACCCTCGACGCATTTGCCCTTGCACACGGCGTGCCTTTCATCGCCTTGTGTGGCCACAGAAAATCCATAACAAACACAAGGCCCCATCGCACGGCTTCGCTCTGTGTTCAGACAGTAGAATTGACGACGACCTCCGCATGTATTTGCTGGCAAATATTGCCCGGGCTCTCGTGTCTCCCAAATTTGTCCCGGTAGCGAAAACTCGAGGCAACACAGCCGCCGGCTCGCGAGACCAGGGCAGTGTCACACAGTCACTGCCTGCCCTCCGACGTGACAGGAGAATTCGAGGGTGTGATGTATGTCATCCGTCACACCAAATGGGACCCACTCGTCCACGATCGATCACTGTAGCGCTCTCAGACTCTCGACCGTTCGTACCGTTCCACCAGCCAACACACTAAGACGCTGACCACTATACACTTCATGTTCAACATGCTGCCTCACTACCAGTCCAAGACCTTCGATGGGTCATATGCCGACATCACCTAAGAGCATTCTTCAGGCGGCTTACGATGCCCACGACGTCTACTACCCGAATCGGGAAGAACACATGGCCCGTTAAATTGTTACAAACTGTTGTCTGATCAATAAGGAAGTGCGTATATCAGATCTAATGAAAGAGGAGGTGCCAATCGACGATGCAGAGAGACGCGGTTTCGACTGCTCGACACGGTCGACGCTTACCCCGACAGCACGCTCGAACCCAACGTTCGCGACTGCTATGAAACCCACGGCTACTGTCTGGCCTCAACCTACCTGGGAGGCGCATTAAATCGGCAGACATCGCTTCACGAGCTGCACGTCGACGAGCGCGTAGGAACAGCCACGCCTTCCAACTCAGCTCGGATGGTCCGACTATACGTCGTAATGGTTGGTACGGTTAGATCATCACTCGTCGTCGCTTCGCTCATCCCATGTCTAACATGTCTGACTCTAGCGGACATCCCGCAACTCTTCCATACCCAGGGGGCGTCAGCCGCGGCTGAGAAATCATCCAGACACCAGCCGCTGCATAACTACCAGGTGCTTGTTGGTGAGTCGTTGGTTGACGTCTGTCTCAGCCATCGTACCCTGCTGACCGACTTCTGGACTATCTTATCAGGACAACAAGCCTATCTCGCCGAAGCAAAGGCGCAACTGATGACTCCTATAGACGCAGTCCGCGCAAACTGGACGTCGCAAATCACAATCCAGTTTCGCATGGAACAGGCCCCGACATGCATGAGCGGGCTTCGCATACGGAGACTGGGCCGTTGACAACCTGGATATCGATATTTGCTAGGAGGACATGTTGGTCGTCATCAAATTCGTGGAGGAGGTACACAATTTGAAGATTCGGACCGAGAAGCAAGGTGCTGCTGCTTTTGTCAAGTATCTTAGCCGCCTATTCCAGGACTATGTCAAGGAGGACGGATTGCTAGGCCGACCGGATAAGGAACTTTGGGCCGAGGTGGACTGTAGCACCGCCCACGGGCTCGAGACTCCCTATGCCATGGTGGTGGTGGTGGTGAAATAGGCTGTCCTACGGATCGTCTCAGGATGCTTGCAAACGCATGTTTCTGTCACATGAGGTGAGTAGAACAGTCCATGTCGATTGACTAGCCACTGATGTTTGTCTTGTACCAGTACGAGTCCACCCAGAAGATGACTTGCCGTCCCGCCCTGATAATCATTGTGAAGGATTCGTACGTGAATGTATATTTGGCGTATCTCGTGGACTCCGTCGTCTGGGCGCAACTACATACCATACGCCTGGTCGACGAGGACCAGCTCGTAATCCAGCTCGCAAAGAAGTTCATGGACATCCGAAGCATGGGGCGGATGCTGCGGGAATCATATGCCATGGTCAACATCCGCTCAGCCCTCTCTCGTGCCCTTCATTTCTTCCCCAAGCCCACCCCGCCGTACGGCGTCGTCTTCACAGACTGACTTAGATGCACAGTCGGGTTCCCCCGTGCACTCTACACCTGGATAAATCAGGGAACAGACGTCTATATCCAAATCGTCGCGAAATATTCGCTGGATGCGCATGAACTGGGTCTCGCTTCGAAGATCCTTTGGAGTAGCGCGCCTTTATCAGGGTACATGATCATCATCGCGGAGACCCTGAAAGGCGTTGGCCTCGCGACATATCTACGGGCGTAGTTCCCGGATCCGTCCAAGGTTCACAGAGTGCAGAGCGACCTTGAGAGGGCCATTGCGTTGCTTCACGATTGTGGCTTCGTGTTTGGTGACCTTCACGCAGCGAACGTGATTGTCGTCATCCCGCCGCCTGGATTGCAGGAGGAAGTGCGTGGCTGCCTCATCAATTTTTACTGGGCTGGAGCCGATGGAGTCGCCAGGTTTCCTACATGGCTCGACCCGGCCATCGAGTGGCCCGCGAGGGATCTTAGATATGGACTGCTCAAGAAGCAGCATGATATCGTTATGCTGCAGACGTTGACCACGGTGAAGCCGGCCCCAGAGCCGTCAAGGTCGCATATAGTATGGACTCGGACATGGACTCCGATTGAACAGGATTCGGCGCACGAGTGAGAATGATGTCTTAAGCAGCAAAACTGTATGATACATTTGAGAAAGAGAGCGAGTAGACTGATGGGTGGCGTGTATGACTGCAAGAGTCGAGAGGCTTGGCTCGAACTATATGCGTGTCGGAGGGGTATATTGACAATTGAGTCTTTGAGCCAAGCCTCATCACGCATGTACAGCAGGCCCTGATCGCGAGAAGCACTCCGTCCGACTGAAGACAAACAGTCATTGATTGGATTGACAAGAGGCACAATAGCATGATCTCCATCGAATTCTTCCCGCAGTCAGTCGCCAACTCCCAAAGGAGGAAAGTGAAGTGTGAGCGAGGACCAGGGCCATACCTCCTCAGATGTATGTCAGATTTGCAAAATTCCGAAGTTACGTCTTACCTACCATGCTGGCCAGTACCTCGCGTCCAATATCAAGGCTCACATTTGCGAGCATGAATGCAGAGGGAGAAGGTGCGGCGGAGATCATACATTAATACTGAGATTGTTGTTCTACAAATCCTGATTATCTTATGGGGACTAGATGAGTTACATAAGCCGGATTGTGCCGTACCTTTCGGCAAATTCCCGACGGACGCGCACAGTCACAGTCTTGCTCTCGAACCGTCATCTCCGCCACAACTGTCCTTGTCTGCTGCCTCCTCCTGTCTCCCGCCACATCCGCCAACGCCTGCATTCGCGGCGTTCTTTTTGTTACAATCACGGATATCTTGCCTGTTACGCCTCTGCGCAATCGTCCACAGCCGCAGAATTCGCTCGGCACGAAAGCGCCACTGCTTCCTGCGATGTCTCAACCGGCGTTCTCGAGTCCAACGCCCGCGCCTGGCAGCCGTGCTATCGCAACGAGTGCACTCCGCCGAGCGGGCCTCATCGACCAGGATGCAAAGATGAGGGATCTATCTTCGGACAAGCCGGGTGGGCGTAAAGGTTCAACCCTCAAGCTGTCCAAGACGCGCCACCCACATAAACCTCGCGGACTCGAGGCCGTACTTGGGAGAAGTACGCCTGCGTCATCACAAACGGTAAATACTCGATGCTCCTCACCCTTTGCACACGTAGCTCCGCAAGTCGCCGTGAAGAGGACGGGCGTCGAGTTTTCGTTCCCCCCCTTGCCTGCCTAGCACGAAGCTCACGAGGTTCATCCTTTCCATGTACACTATCATCTGCACGTGTTTTGCCAATGCAAACTAGATTCCAACACGTCCCAACGACCCACGAATGAAGAAGCGCAAAAATGGGATGCCGGCGCCTGTCACGGAGAAGGTCATCGAGGTGTGGAAGGAGTGGGTCCGTAGGAGGTGGAATCCGGAAGCACGGTTCCTGAACCTCGAAGTGAGTGCCAATTCGTCGCAACGCATTGCTCCGTTCTCAATCGAATTACAGCGCATAGCGTCGGATGACTACCTGAAGCGACATCGCCTGACATCACCCACCTCCGATGCTGCGAATAGAGAGGCCCAGGTCATCTTCAAGATTGCAAGTAAGCTGCGCCCGGAGGTATGTTTTACGGTCGTTCATCCGCGGACTACGGTTCAATGTATGCTACCCGAAGATCGAGACCATTTCCCTCGCGCACAATGGCTTAACCAGTGGGCGAATGATGTCCACTATGTCACACTACCTGCCCTGGCTCAAGAATCTTTCCTTGGAGGGGAACGAGTTCAGGGGCTGGAAGGATGTCGACTACATCTCCGGGAAGAGGGGCCGGCTCGAACAACTACGCGAGCTCATCCTGGTCGGCAACCCGGTACGAGAATTGGAGTATAAGAACAACAGAGCCGCGCTCTACAAGAGGTGCGGACAACATTTCTTGAACCAGTCATCTCGAGCTCAAGGTCTCGCAGCGAGGTTGCACGAAGGTTTCCATCGCTGGAGATTCTCGACGGAGAGCCCGTGGCGCGAGTAGGGTTCGACGCGCCTACCGCATTGACCTCTGCCCCTCCACAAGCTCGCACGATGTTGTCGACATTTGCATGGAACATGGAACCATCTTTTATCGCCGGTGTTGATGGCGGTCTGGTGGTTAACTTCCTTACGCGCTTCTTCCCCTCATTCGATAACCAACGTGGAGCATTGATCGACGCATACGCGCCGAACGCTACATTCTCCTTTTCCGCCAACACCAGTATCCCACCCCGCGCTCGAATAGAGGGCATTCATGTTTCCAAAGAATTTCCCAATCAGCGCAAGCTGGAGTGGGCCCCCTGGCTGACTGGCGGCAATGGTGGCTCCCGCAATCTAGGGAGGATGAACGGTCTGCAGAAGGTCACGCAGTCGCTACACTTGGGCAGCCAGGAAGCGGTCAGGGCGATGGCTGCCCTGCCCCCAACGAGGCATGAAGTTGCCGGTTCTCCGGAGAAGTTCTGCGTCGACGCCTTCCCCGTACAACAAGGCGAGCAGACGAATCTTCTCGTGACCGTGCATGGCCAGTTCGCAGAGCGTAAGCGATAAATTTCGTTCATTCGGCTTCTCATGACTAATTGAATGCGCCCGTCTTGGTGATGTCACCTTTAGTACCATCCGAAGGTATCCGGTCCTTTGATCGCTCGTTTGTGTTGGCTCTTTCGCCGGAGGGATCACGGTACGTTGACGTTTGTGGCAGTTCCACGTTTGACCCTGACCCTTGCTCAATAGGGCAAAGCAAAGCGGCTGGGACGTCATGATCCTCTCTGACCAGCTCGTAGTGCGAGCGTACTCTAGCTACGAAGCATGGAAGCCCGGTCCGATGCGCGTCCAATTTGGCGACCTCTTACCATCCCCGGGATTGCAGGAGGCTCTCGCACCCCTGGTGAGTTTCACCTGCCATCAAACCCGTCGCGTAATATGCGATGGTACACAGCTTCGGCCGAACCCGTATACTGACTTCGCTGTCATTCCCAGCCGCAGCCGCAGCGTGGACGAATGCAAGACGTCATCCTACGCACGCGCCTGAATCTCCAGTACGCTGAGGACTGCTTGAAGAACAACGACTGGGACGTCGAACGCGCCATCGCGAACTTCGAGCGGGTCAAGGTGAGTTGTCATCGCTGTTCCCCTGGCTGATCGGGCGCAGTGTACTAAATGAATTATTACGTTTCAGGCGAACCTACCAGCCGACGCATATCTGCCACAGGATGCGTTCCAGCCTTGAATGATTCCCCGCTATGCCTCGGATGGACTTATCGGCTCCAGAGCCCGGCTGATCATTGTCGTTGATCCAGCCAACGCCTCTTCGTGGCGTGGCTTGCCTCGTGTCTCTTGATCGTTTCGTCGAACTACGTACTCTTCACATTCCAGCCGCATCCCTCCATCAGCATATCTCGCAATGTGTAACCTATAGTCGCCTGCCATGATGCATATGAACCCCGCCTTGACATCGCAAGTCGTCGTTATCCGCTGCACACATATTGTTTACAGCACGCAGTCGCACGCAGTCCTCTCCCCCCTCATATATCGATATTTCCCAACTCATAGCACTATTGTCGCTTGTAGCATCCGGACACCGCGGAGCATAATCAGAGAGGCTGAAGCACCGCTTGTTGTTTCCGAGCACGATGAATGCAGCCTAAGAATTGTTCGAGAAGAGATCGCGAGACTCGGAACAATATGGCCTCGGGGCGGGTAAACAGCGGGGCGCAAACAGACGAAGTTTAGCGCAGTTCGTATGATTGTGCCGCCCCGACGGGCGCCTATAGGGGTGGCCAAAGGGCGGCGTGTTTGGCTGTCGCGCTCCTCCTACCGACTCGGGTGAGATGAGCATTCTCACCGTCGACTGTGGTCCGCACGCCGTTTCGCACAGCCCGTCAGCGAAATTCGCGTAGATGCCGCCTCGAGGCATCCGCATCCTGGTCTGGGAAGGATGAGCCCGATGTCCGTGCTATTCTGATGCATCGTGGCTTCGCGCCTCGTGCCGGCCCTTCGAGGGTCGAGGACGCCGGCTATGCTTGGGTTCCCCACTCCCAAATACTTATATCGTCCGGGCCCGCCAGCCTAACCCCGCACTTGCTCCCGCCAGCAAATTTCCGCGGGACGGCTCTGGGAATCTCAGGCTTGTACTTCTTGTACCACCACTCCACCACTCGGACTCGCTCTCGGACTCTTGCATTTCCTTTCGATACCCAAACCCAAACGCTTGTACACGCTCCTTCTTCTGATGACGACATCGCAGACTGGTGGGCGACAGCGCGCAGAGCGCGCGGCTCTGGATGCGCCCCTGCTCGACGCGGCTGCGCGGGCGGACGAGAGCGGCGTGAACGCGGCCCTCGCGCGCGGCGCAGACGTGAACGCGGTGGACGGCGCGACGGGGAACACGGCGATCACCTACGCGATTGCTGGGGAGAGGTGTGTTCGGTCGGTGCATATCGAGGGTCCCGAGCGCTGAGAGGGCTTTGCTCGCGCGCGTCGCGTTTTGTCAGCGGCTGGGAAGACGTCGACGTGTCCGACGCGTCATTCATGCTGCAGAGCAGGGTGCAGGTGCTGAGGATGCTCCTGCGTAGTGAGACGGTCTCGTTGTATGCGCTCAACGCGCCGGCGAGGGATGTTACCCCTCTGGGGCTCGCTGCTTGGCTGAACGTCCCGGACGCGATCCGCGTGCTGCTCGAAGAGAGCCGTGGGTTGGTCGCAGTCGACGGCACCGACTCGCTCGGTGTTACTCCGCTCATGTGTAAGTGGCAGCGTGCTGGCCTCCGGTGACGAGATGCGCTGACATCGGAACCCAGATACTGCTCGTGATGGCGCTGTCGAGGCTGCATCCATCCTAGTATGTCCTAGACTTGAATCTGTTCACTCGACTGGGATTGATGTTGGCTACTTCACAGTTGGCGAACGGTGCACGACCTGATCTCAGGGACACGCACCATCGGACTGCGGTCCACCACGCGTTGCGTCATCCCCGAATGCTTTGGCTGTGCGAGTCTACGCTTCGCAAACAGCGGCTCCGCGAATATTTCGTAAGTCTACTTCCTATGTCTGATTGACGTGATCATCAATTCAGTGTGTTATTCAGAACGGTAACCGCCGACAACTCCAACCTCTTCCCCAGCCCTACGTCGCATACGCACAAACATCCGCCACCTCCCCTGTCGACCTCACGCATTGGCCTGCGCCCTCAGAGGTGGTCCTCTCACGGTCGACAGAGGCTTTGATCCGTGCTGTCGCCGGCAGCGACCTGACCGCAATCTATCAAGTTCTCTTCCCGGCTTCTCATCGGACGACAGTCCTTGTCAACCGCTTAGACTCGCAAGGCTGGGGCCCCCTGCACTATTGCGTAACCTCTCAAGCACCCTCCATGGAAGTCCTGGACGCTCTTTTCTTGGCTGGCGCAGACACCAGCCTGTACACCAGCTCGAACCATGGGACCCCGCTGCATTGTCTGGTGCGAAACGCCCAGGCTCCCCTCGGGTCCCTGCAGGCAGCGCGGCTCCATGTATTCATCCGCCACTTTATCCGCGAGCTTCGCGCCCCCCTTGCCGCGACGGACGAAGATGGCGAGACATGCCTCCACGTTGCCGCCGAGCACGGGAAGAGCGTTGAAGTGCTTCTAGCTCTCCTCGCATGCGACGTCCGGCATACCGTGCGTGAGATGAGGAACGCGAGGGGGTGCGTGTCTACATATCTCACCGGCCTTTCGGGCTTGTGGACTGACAGCTTTGCAGGTTGACACCGCTAGAAGTGGCGCAGCCTGAGTTCCGGTCTGCCTTTGGCCCTGAGGCGGAACCCCGGCGAAGCAATTCGGCAGCGTCCTTCCGTACTATACGTCCTTCGACCAGCTCTTCCACGTCGACGTCGTCTTCGGCCACTGCGATGACCGTAGCGTCTCCTCGGCCACAGCTCGGCTCCGGGTCCAAGCCTGAGCTGCCCGCCGATGACGTTGACGCTTCGCTACTCCCGAGACGCATACTCGACAACCTCACCGCAGTCGGTCAAGAAGCTCTCTCTGCCGATCCGTTGCAACTCAGCGGCCTCCAGGACGTGCTCGATGAGACATCCCACCTCGGCGAAACGTGGGTACATAGTATGCACTCCCGAATTCAAGAGGCTGCGTCGGACCTGCGTGACGCACGGGGAAAGTTTAACGAGGTCGACGCCCTTCTAGAGAGCGTGACCTGCGAATTGGAGGAGGCTTTCGGGGAGGACCTTGCTGGTCATCGAGACAGCACGGAGCGAGCGCGGAGGCGAACCACGGACTCCGCTGACTCAGACAAGACTGCGGTGTCGAGCCGAACTTCTTCTAGTTTGAGCAGGAAGTGGCGGTCGATGTCGGACTTGCGATGCTCCGTTGATGGCAACCGGCGAGAACATCCTGCAGAGCGCGCGAAGCCCCCTTACCTCACCATCGAGGAAGAGGAGGAAAGCGCAGCGCCCATCGACAGGTCGACGACGGAGAAGTCGTTCCTCAACGCGCTCTTACCCCCAACAGCGAAGGAGCTCCTCCACAAGTCCAGCAAGCTATCGGTCGACTCCGGGCGGACGGTGTCTCCTGCCCCACACAAGAAGGACGGCTCTCCGAGCGGGACTTCGAAGCTCAAGGCGTGGTTCCGGAAAAAGCTGCGGTTCGAAATTCCAGATGTCTCGAATGAGACGAGGATCGTCCTCCCCGGGGAGCAATCGCCGCAACGTTCTCCTTGCCAAACCCAAAGACGTGTCCCTTCGCCCACGGAAGATGCCTTGCGAACGGCACGCCGAATTCTACGCACGGCCGGGAAGGATCTTTCTTGCATCGAGGGTTGCATGGACGACGTACGTATCTTTGCTGTCGGAATGAGAGTGGAACTAACCTCTCGCTAGGCGGAAGAATTCTTGTCGCTAGCCGCCAACCTACTTTCCCAGACGGAACGGCGACTGAAACTAATCATTGTCGTAAGTAGCGACCCCGCGCTCGCTCCTGTGTGTAGCGTTTCTGACGAGCCGTGTAGAGCCGACAAGCAGCCCTCGAAAGCGCACGACTGGCGCAACTCGAAGAACACCTCGACGATCCCTTCATGTCAGCCATCGCCTCCACCGTTCGTGCCGCTCACTCGGACGCAGCGATCCCCTTCCCCCTCACTTCTCGCGCACGTGCCGGCAGCGGCTCCAGCGGCTCATTGTTATCCTCGATATCGGCTGGCTCTTCCGTGGTCTCGCTCTCTTCGACGCTGATCGACGCCGAGGACGACGACACTCGGGTGCTCCGCCGTCTCATGACGCGCAAGGTCGAAGCGCGGACCGACGGCGCGCTGGACGAGATCGACAAGACGCTGACATGGCTGCGGATCGTGCAGGACACGCTCCGGAGTCTCCGGCGACGGACTCAGACATCCGCGACCGCCACCGGGACCCTCTCATAGACTTCCCCACTTGACTTTCAGCTTCCAGCGATTGTACAATCTGCGTTGTGCTCGAGATAGTTGTCATATCCAGTGCTCGAGACTCGCACTTGTATACGAAGGACTTTGCTGTCAAAAATATTTGTTGTACCATATGCACGATATGTAGGTGTACGTAGGCATCCCCCACATCCATCTCCCCTCCACCCTGATAGTCAGCAAATCCAAGACGATATCTAAATATGTATGTTGTATATATAGGCACACTTTGTATAGGTAGTTCACGTGTTACGAACGTTTTCTGATTATGTCTCCACTGTAGGTAGTTTTCTGCTGTCGATAGTCGGTATCCCGCTGTCCGCGATGCTCTGTACATATCTTTCGATGTTCAAGTAATGACTTTGTAACCATGTATGACCCTGTGGCCAACGCTGTTCAAGCGCCGTTTCTGAATTGTCGGGTGAAAGCTGAACAATGCTAAACTACGCCTTCGTGCATGTCATGGCCACAACGACAGGAGACAGGCCTTGGCGCTAACCTTGTTGACTGCGGTACTCCTGAAGGAGGCTCAGATGATTCGAACCGGTTCGGCGCTCTGGGCGACTACCACTTGAAAGCAAATCCAGACATGTCCTCGAGGTAAATGCCCGCCGTGCTTCCCCTTCGAACATGTCTAACCGGACTTGGGTATACTACCTATTCCTCCACGAAGCTCTCTCAGCCATGCCGCAGTGGCCCAGAACGACGGCGGACAGGTCCCCGTCGGGTCCGACCCAAATCACTCCTCGACAATGATCCCAGGCATGAGCCAACCGCCAAACCATACGAGCCCGGTTCAGGTGCGTTCGTCTTTTGCAATCCCCGACACGACATTTGTGGATTGATCAGGAATTGCTTGTGTGCTATGTGTCCCCTGTGCTTTGCGCTGGTAGTCCGACCCGTATGCCTCCGTACACAGGCAGCATCATGGGGCTTATGGTGTACCCCCGCCCGGTCATGACGGATATGCGCATCAACCACATCCGCCACATCCGCACCACCATGTCGTCCAATACGTCCACGGGCCCCCTGGTCACGCCCAGCAAGCTCCTCATGACATGATGTACTCTGTTGATACCTCCCAGCAGCCGAGCCAAGGTCATACCCAAGCCCAAGCCGCTCCTCAGGAGGAGGAAGAGGAAGAAGAACCCCTGGAACCCCCACAGCCTGCTGCGAGCACAAATGGGAAGCGAAAACAACCTGACAGTGCTACAGCCGACGCGGGTGCAAAGAAGCGGCGGGCACGTGTGGCGGGCGCCGCCTCGGGTGCGGGCGAGGACGGCGAAGAGGGGCAGGACTTGGAAGTGGGCCCGAACGGGGGCGCAAAACATTGGACGGAAGAGGAGAAGACGCGGTTTTTCACGTGGATGCTGATGAGCGACGAGCACTGGGACGCGTTCAAAACGAGGATGAACACTGTGTTCCGCGAGGTATGTCCTGATTACTACGGGAGTGTCGGAGAATGCACGAGCGGCAAGCTGACGTCCGCGCAACCGGGGTAGTGCTCAGCCGAGCTGTTTCCTGGACGCAAGTCGTATACGGCGTTGAAGAGCTGCTACCATCGCAATCTTGAAGTCTTCAAGCAGATCCATGCCTTCCAGCACTTCTCCGCGAGCCACTTCCGCCAGATGCAGACTGAAAACCCGCACGTGGAGCAGCCATCCATCGATGCCATGCTTGAAATAGCTCGGTCCGCGGGACTCAACGTCGGGAACTTGAATGTAAAGGTCATCGATCGCTGGTACGAAACAGGTTGGTTCAATCTTTTCAAGAGAAGGTGGGTATGCGCATGAAGCTCAGCGTAGTGCGTGATTGCTGATTTGCTGTCTAGGTACCGTGAGGACCCGAAGACCGGTCTGCCTACGCCCTACTATGGACCGCCCGACGCGTCGATGGAACCCGGCTCTTCCTCTGGTCATCGCCAGATGATGGGCGTACACACGTCGATCGACCCGCAGCTCATGGCAAGTCACGGTCTGCAAGCGCAGCCAACGCAGGACTCGCAGTACGCACCCCAGGCAGGCGAGGGCTCGCAGCAGTCTGTCAGCGCGATGGCGCCGAACGGGTCCTACCCTTATTCCCCGCCGGCCTCGCAGTCTTCGCACTACCGCGAAGCGGGATCGAGCAACCTTGGCCAGCCCCCGCAGCCGTTCAAATACTTGCGGTCACAGAGCGCGCTCCCTCCCAGGAATCTTCAAGGAACCCCTAGTCGAAGCTCAGGAGCTCCCCTGCTGAATGGCCAGAGACACTCACCTTTTCGGGACCAGATACCCGGGGAGCAGTTCGGCGGCGATCATCCCATACAGATTGCTCATGCCATTGCACAGCTCACCGCCGTGACCGAGTCCCTCATAGGGGTCTGCTCCTCCGTCAAGGAGCTCTTGCAGCAAAATCTCGAGGAGAGCAAGGCGCGCACGGAGCTGATGCGCGCCGAAGCTCCTTCGCGAGCGCAGAACGGCGGCGGGAACGGGCATAAGGGCAAGGAGCGCGAGAAGGAGATCTCGATGGAGAAGGTGACGTTCGCGACAGAGATACTGAAAAACGGACCTCAAAACGAGGAGATCAAGAAGGCGGCGATTGAGTGTTTGACGAAGTACCTCATGCGGGATTTGTGAGCAGCAGCAGCCAATTGTGTATGTAGCGAATAGTTCGTCGTCTAAGCATGCCATCTTGTCTTGTTGTACATACATGCGAACAATGCATGACATTGTCCATCCAGCTATCATCTACTGCTACACTACTGAAGCAAGTACCCAATATCCTAACGTGGCTAGTCATCTACTCCATAATCCGGAACCCGAAGGGTCAGTTCCGCCAACGCCACCAAGGCTTCTGCTCACCGGCAACCATCTTCTCAGCGACTCGACTGGGTCCCGCGACCGGGAAAGACGGGATAGCGACCTTCCTCCCCTTGGCGCGCTCGCGCGACACCCAGTCCTCATCGTCGAAGTACTGTTCCATCGCGCGGCCTTCCAGACCAGTATCGCCTTCCCCATGAAGCTCCCCGGCATGGGGTCTGCGCTTCCGAAGACCTCTTCCATCGCCCTTGTCGTATTCCTTGACATCGCCAATATCGTCTGCACTATCGGAAAGGCCGGCGATGGCAATATACGCCTTCGCGACGTCCCGGTCCGTCTCCTTGGTCATGGCCTGAAACTGTGTCTCGGAACGCTCAAGTGCGAGACGGGCTCGGCGCTCCTCGTGGAGTGCTCGCTCCGTTGGCGAGAGTGGAGGCGGAGGGCGTGCAGAAGGTGGAAGGACAAGGTAGGAGCGAGTGTGTAGCAGATGAGGGGTTGTGCGAAGAGTCGAGGGAGGGAGATTGTTCAGGCGACACAAGATGCGACTCTACAAGTAGTAATCTCAGAGACTGTCATGACATACGCAGAGTAGAAAGACTCACGTCGACTCCCAGCCTCAGTGAGATTCCTAGCAGAGTATCGTCGGGTCTGAGATAGTACTTGGGAGGCTGTCCACGTTCAGTCTGAATGTCCCCTTGTGCAGCCGTCTCCGAGTCCGCGGTGCTGCCCGTTTGTGACTTCAAGGAGTGGGGACGACTTGCTATTGAACCGGAGTAGTCGGGCGTTCGAGGCGGAGGAGCCTCGCTTGGGGCGGCAGAAGCAATCGACCCTTCAGCACGTTGTTTAACCGACCGTCCATCCTCATCGTCTGACTCCGTCTCGCTTTCGTCGCCGTCCTCATCTCCCAGCACAAACACATCCTCGTCTCTCACTGACCCATCTACATTTGCCCGCGACGGTGTGGAATTGCCGTCCCCTGCCAGGGTACCAGAGAGCGAGCGCGAATTCACGGCGTTTACTCCTGCCAAACATCGGAGGCAGGGATTGTATCGTGCGAGACGCGGGTTAGCGATAAGGCAGTTTGGGCAGATCGGCCGTGAACAGCAGCTAGTATAGTAGATCTTGGTATTGGCTCTGCCAGGGGGCAGCGATGCAGAACACGCAAGGCAGAGAGCTACTGAAGGTTTAGACGACGGCATGAGAAGGTTCCTGCTAAGAGGCTGATGAAGCCGTCGACGTTCCGGGGCGGGACGCAGTGGCGGTGCTCTGATCAGATCGGGCAGAGCGTGATCGAGAACGTGTGTGCCAAACTGGGGTTGCTTTCTTCACGCTCAACGCGTTGCAGCCACCTTAGACCCTTAGACACACCCTTTGTCTTTTTCGGCTCGTCAAGCGAGGGCTGGATACTGAATCCCATCCGCCTCTGCCACGTATATAAGGGCGTGAGCTGGCAATTACCTTCGACTTCGACGTCTCGGGTTATTACCACCGAGACCTGAGGTCAGTAATCTACGATAGTGCTCGCTCAATATGTCTCACATTGCCTATCTTCATCGGAAGGTGGTTCCGTGGCTACGTGCCTGGGTATGAAGCATCTCACGGCGCTAAAAGCGTTGGTCCTCCTGGCCTGCGGAGCATGGGCAGTCACCATCTCCGAGATCCAAGGGACTGCCTTCCAATCGCCTCTAGCCGGACAATTTGTGCACGGTCTTACTGGAGTTGTCACAGCAAAGGTGAGCACATAGTATCTTCTGGAAGTGATGAACTCAGTGGGTACTCTCCTCAAAAAAATTAGGACAAGTATGGCGTATGGATTCAGGACGACCGCACTGACGACCCCCGAGCTTCGAACGGCATTCGCGTCTATGGAAGCGCGGCCGTGAAGTACGCAAGCATCGGGGATCTCATCTCTCTCTCTGGCCGTGTAGCAGAGTACCGCAAGACTGCCGACGACCTTTTTCTCACCGAAATCGACTATGTAACCGCACTCACAACCATATCTTCGGGACACACCGTCGAGCCCATCATCCTCGGAGAGGACCGTATCCCACCAAGGAACCAGCTTTCGTCGCTTGACATCGGCCGAGATGGTTGGCTATCCGTACCAAGCAACCTCACTCTTCTCGAGTCGGTGAACCCCAGTCTGCGTCCGGATGAGTTCGGACTGGATTTCTGGGAGAGCCTGGAGGGGCAATTTGTGACCGTCAAAGCGCCTACGGCTGCGCAGTTCCCGGATAGATTCGGTTCCGTGTGGGTATACGGCAACTGGCCAACGACTGGTAAGAATGAACGGGGCGGCCGAACAATTCATTCCAATGGTGTGTGCGCCCTATTCATTGAAGAGTGGCGCATTGGTTCTTATGCGAAGTGCATCAGGACCCGACGAGGCGCCCCCAGCACATCCGGAGGCCATCTTCATTGGACGTCCAATGGATGGCACTCGCAATCCCAAGGCCGTCATGGGGGCTGTGCTGAGCGATGTCACTGGAGTAGTAGCCTACCAGGTAACGTCGACGACTGTATGCCCCCAGACAACTGACATTGATGTATGCTCGCATCAGTTTGGATACTACTATATATTGCCACTCACGGCTCCCGAAGTAGTCGAATGGCCAGACTTCGACGTCCCATCATCCACTCTCAATTACACCACTCACCCTTGCCAAATTCGTATTGGGGACTACAACGTAGCTTCTTCTCTCCGCACCTCGAGCACTCTTCGATCCTGAGCTGACGCATATATGCACCTGCTCTCGCGTAGGTCGAGAACATGAATCCGCGCTCCTACCATATTCCCAAGATTGCATCGCACATTGCGCACCACTTGCACACGCCTGACATCGTCTTTGTGCAAGAGATTCAGGACGACTCCGGGGCGCGCAACGATGGTGTCGTGTCTGCCAACCGGACCCTCCGTGCACTCGTCAACGCCATCAAGAAGGCGAGCGGGGGCGTTGAGTACGAATTCGTGAATGTCGAACCGGAGGACAATAAGGACGGCGGCCAGCCTGGAGGCAACATCCGTGTGGCTTACTTGTCGGTTCCTTTTCATTATCATCATGGTCTCGAGCTGACAAGGAATGGCCTTCAGGTACCGGCCAGAGCAGGTTTCCTTGGTCCCCGGATCGATCGGGAACGCGACGCTGTCTACAGTCCCACTAGTCGACTGGGAGGGAAACGTGGAACTCAGGTCTGCTGCCTCTAGACTCGACCTCCGGCGATCTCGCTGATCATCTGCTCCGGACAGCTACAACCCCGGTCGCATCGAACCCGAACACTCCGCATGGGAAGAAGCACGCAAGCCACTTGCGGCAGCGTGGCAGCTGCCCTCAGGCGACCGCTTCTTCACGGTGAATGTCCACTTCAGCTCAAAGCGCTTCAGCTCGTCCCCCCAGGGCAACGCCCGGCCGCCTGTGAATGGCGGGTTCGAGAAGCGCACGAGCCAGGCGAACGTCACTGCGGTAAGCCTTCCACGTCGTCATCCCAGGCCGGACTGATTTTCACATCGCGTGTACGAATAGCACTTTGTCTCGTCTCTCCTCGACCTCTCACCGAACGCGTCCGTGATAGTCGCGGGGGACATGAACGAGTTCACGGCCGCGCGCTCCGTCCTGCGCCCGCTCGCCGCGATCCTGATCGACGCGAACGACGTCTGTGGCGTGCCCCTCGCGGAGCGCTATACTTACGCGTACGACCAGCACGCACAGGAGATCGATCACGTCTTCGTCTCCGACGCCATCGCGCGTCGTGGAGGGGACGTCGAGCATGTGCATGTCAATACGTGGGCGCGGACCGTGGGGGAGCGCGCGAGCGACCACGACCCGACAGTGGCGCGACTATGGGTGTGTGACGCTGAGATAGGTACGTGCTCTACACAAGATGAATCGTAGAGGAACGGCGCTGAAGCCTTATGTCCGCTTGTAGATGCTGCGTGGACTGCTGTGGAATACGGTACCGATCATGGACAGACGGTCTTGTAAGCTAGGTCACTACGGACTCAGGATATGATACCGGAGGATCGCTTTTTGATGCTTGTATATTATACATCGAGTTTTGGCTTGGATCAAGCCATGGGCGGCTCAATGCTCAATAATCGCTGTCGTCCTCCACGATCTCTTTCATCGACAGCTTGTCCGTCTCCAGCGGCACCCCACAAACTGTCCTCAGGTTCGCCCCTATCCACTCCAGTTTTCCCAGTTTGAACTCCCCCTCCATGTCCGACGCGAACCCATCCGCTCCCTTCCAGCCCGGCCCGTCAGGCGCGAGGCGCATGTGGAACCCGACGGACGCCAGGACGAGCAGCGCCGCGTCCAGCTTAGTCACGCTACTCTCCAGGGAGCCGAAGAGTGCGTCGTGTAAAGCGGAGGCATTTTCGCGTGTGAGGCCCCACGTGCGCCGCTCGACGTCCTTGGTGCCCCGGCGGGTCCGCTTCGGCACCTCGGATATTTTCATTTCGAAGAAGAGCCGCCAGCCGTCGAGCCCCGGGTGAGGCTGCTCGTCGCTGCAGCGGATGTAGAAACGATGAGACCGGGCATGTGTTTGTAAATGATCGGATTCCGGTGGGGCTGGGTTGTGGATGCGGTAAAGGATTGTCATATTGCCGGGAGAGGGATAGTGCAGGAAGACATCGAGAGATGCGGGGCACGTAGGCGAGGAGATGTGCGTGAACGCCGTCACGTCCAACAGCTGCCCGAGTACGCGATGTCGTAGATTTTTGGTCGAGAGGGTGTACATACCAAGTTCGAGTCAGTATATGCCCGGATCCCGAGAATTGCAGAAGAAAGGACATACGTAGAGACCATCCCATGCGTCATCCCAAACTTCAAGGCCTTGCGGCAGCACGCCGTCCGCAATGACGGCCTGTTCGTCCGAACTCAGTCCAGCACGTTTGAGGATGTCCTCTACGCCGCCTTTGATCTTGTCGAGGAAGGGTGGAGTCGTCAGGCTCAGACATTCGTGTTGCATCAACCTCGCAAAGTTCCATTCGGCCTCGCGCCGCTGGGCTATGTAGCATGGCCAGTTACGATCCTGCAAGGGAGAGAGGAGGTGCCAGGTTGTAAGGGCTTGAGCAAGCGAGTCAGTGCGAGCGCTAGGCGAGGCTGGCGCAGGCTGGAGACGTTTCCAGTCGCGCATATACTCATGTTTTGAGAGGTAGAGTGGGAGTGCGGTTACCGGGATGAGAAGGATCTCTGTGGTTTCATTGAGTTTTCAGTTCGGCGTCGTGGCCCACTGGTACGGACTTGCCTATAGGTTTCTGTTTAGCCCGATCCAACTCAATGAGCGTGTCGTGTTCCTCGCACAAACGCGTCCTGGGAACGAGTCGCTGGTTCAAACGGCATGAACGACTGTGGTAGAGCTCTTTTATCATCCCATACCCAATGCTTGCATGGGATCAGCAAGACATCTTCCACCTGTCTGATCACCGACCGCTAAAACGAGGATGAACAATAGCACTTTCTTGAGTACAAAGGTCAAGGAACTGCCGTACCATCGACTTTCCTGGACCATACGACGTCTTGAGGACATCCGCCTTACCGCCGTTGGCGGTTTTGATGGCAGCGACAGCGTTCTGGTCAAAGCCACGCACAAGAACGCTGTGGGTTCTAGACACGCTCACAGCGCCGTCAGAATGCTCGTAACCCGCATAGTGTTCCACACGGGCCTCAGCGGTGTAAGCTTGAAACTGGTCAGACGAGAGCCGGAAAGCCAAAAGACCTGCGCCAGACGAAGTGGTAGTAGACATGATGGTGGAGACAGAAGGACACCCTGTCACCACGCATTGGATGCGGCACTTTCATAGCCAATGGTATGATATCATCTCGTTCAGACTGGACGTGTTTGACGTATGGTACTCGATCGAGGCCTCAAGCGCCCGATTTAGGTCCAGGAGGCCAAGTACACTACCACTATCACGTGACCTCGTAGCACCCACAACAACGTCTGGCTCCGTTCTTGTGCTTGCCTTCCAGCATAATCTTCTCCTCAGCCTGACCTCGGCTTCCCTTTACCACGGACGGAAAGCTGCCCGGGCTGAAGCTGAGCGCTAGGTGCGACTTGGTTGCTGTGTGCACTCGCGATGCATACATGATACGCGGCGGATTTCAAGCTGAAGAAACCTACGCCGATCGGAGGACAGCGGATGCACGGCGACAGCACCGACATCCAGGGTGCACAGGTCAAACGTCTTTCTTTCCGACATAAAAATCACCGATATGTTCTAAAATTCATGTAAGCATTCTAACTCGTAACTCTACAGGCCGCGCTGTGACGCATGGGTGGCACAATAATTGAAAGCTAACCTGGTATACACACAGTTCGGCATACAGCCTCTGTTGCTCTATGCAGCTTGTGTCTGAGGCCCCACAGTTACGAGCCCCACCTATAGACTTCTGTCGGGTCCTCTGGGCTTGCCTGCAATGCCTGCCTGTCCTTCCTGCGCTGCTTCTCCAGGACCAGCAACGACGTGACCACACTGTCCCGTATTTCTAGCGCGCGGAGAGTTAAGCTTAGCGTCGCAGGCCGGGGTCTATGTTGATGCTCCGTGCTGGACCCGCTCTGGGCCCCTGACACACCTTGAGGGTGGGATCGGTCAAAACGTGCGATTGGCTCCGTATACTCGTCGTCCTTCGTGAAAAGCTGAATATATGAGGCTCAGTACGTCAGCCAGGCAATGAGAGACCCAGTCGTACTTCGAGCGCGCCCCTATGCCCAACAACGTTTCCTTTCCACTTGTACTTCCTCCCCGACTCGTCCTTGAACGATGCATTCCTGCAAAACCCCCGTCCCGTAATTGTCAAGACTCGGTCCACTGGTGCAGCGGGGATCATCGCTTCCGAACTTACATGTTGACGGAGATGTTCGCCATGTTTATGCGCAACCATTCGTGCAAAGGCATAGGGGGGTCTCTTCCCAGGATCAGCCTATCGGAGACAAGGTATCGCTCCTGGAGCGCCGCCACGACTGCCCCGTGGACGTTGACGATGTACGTAGTCGTGCCGTTCCAGCGGCACTGAGTCGAGACAGTGTAAACTTCCGTCCCGTCCGCCGCGTCGTATATCGTGGTGTTGGAGGGATCGTCCGGAGACAGGACAAGGGTCGCTCTGGGCTGCTGAGACATCAGCAGCGGCCTTCGATTGACTGAGGAGGGGCTGCCGAGGTATGTTCACTGGATCTTGACTGGTCCGGAACGCTCATGTACTGATGAGCTTTGTAGGGAAGACGTCGCGCGGTTACGCATCCTAGGCTCCGCATGACCTTTGGCCGCAATGGCAGGGAGGTAACGGTCTGCCCATGAATGCTTGACGCAGTCGTCTCGTTACTCTTCCAGGAAGCTTGCGCGGTGTTTTGAACAATAGACCTCGCGGCTTTGCTAGGCAACCTGTCTAGAGATGCTGCAAGTTCCTGTATGCGGAGCGCTGCCGCTTGAGATAGCGTCGCCAAGAAGCTGGATGCAGTCTCTGGTACGTTTAATGTCTCTGAACTATGGCGTCTCGCTCGTGCTCACCTATGCATGTGAGTTCGTCAAGGAGAATAGTTTGAAGAGCAACAAACCTGGTCGCCGGATGACTACCATGTCAACGCATCGAACAAAACTATGTGGTTGTGATCGTAACCGTACCTTGACAGAACTCATGTCGCCTTTTGTTCCTATTGAAGGTATACGGTCACACGCGGCACAAGGTTTGACGCTAATGTATCCCGTTAACCCGAGCCCCAAGTAAATACTGAACATAGACCGCCATAGTGAAATCATGTTGCCCGAGGCATTGGGATAGAACGACTACGGACGACACACAAACTCTCAACCGCCTCCTGCACCGTACCCATGCCCGCTCGTGATTGCCACGATTGGTTGCTTGCTCAGAGCATCGGCGGTGCTCTGGCGTGTCCTCGCTTGGCCTCGACGCAATCGTTCTAGGAAGAGGAAGGAGAGGACGACGATATCTTGGATCTCCACGGCACGCGCCGTCAGAGCAAGTCTCGCGGGTTCTGCAGGTAAGTCCCGACCGATGTTCTTTCGAGACTTTGTGAATGTCGCGATGGGCTCCTCGTATCCATCGTCTTTGGTGAACAGCTGCACGGTCAGAGAACATGTCATCCACAGGCCATACGGTGCACTGGTATATGACGTACCTCGAGCGTGTTCGCGTATGCGGCGCCCTGCCACTTGTACTTCCGTCCAGAATCGTCCTTGAACGACGCATTCCTAACAAGCAACTCCATGAGTGACGCCATTGACCCTCGAGGAGACATCTCGCTATACCCTTTGGACGCAAACGGGACGAGGGCCGTCTGCAGCCAATTGTTGAGGGTTGTAGGGGGTTTCTTCCCGAGTCTCAATCTGTTGGGCAGCATGTCGCGCCACTCTACTGTCGCCAGTAACTCGCCATTGCTGCGTGTCACTTGTGTCGTGGTTGTATACAGGCTAGGCGTGGTAGAGACGAAGTATAGCGCCGTCCCCTCGCCGTCACAGAGTGTCGCATTGAGCACGTCGTCTGGAGTCAAGGTGAGAGTCGTCGTTGTGGGAGGAGAGGACTCCGACATGTTGGTGTTGTGGAGCTCTTGCGCAAGGCAGTTCTCTCAGGACGTGTATGATGAGGTAGCTGATGTGTACCACGCCCAGGATACTGACGCGTTTATAACGTAGTGGAGAACAATGCGGTGCACGGTTCCTGACAGGCTCGCCTTCCTGATCGCGGATAAGGATTACCTTCTACTTGTCGAATCCGTCGATTCAAATGACGATGACCCTATGCCAGCAGACGCGGTGAACTCTACATTCACACGGACACTTGGTGCCTGTTACGATAGTGCGGCGCTGTTGGTAGTCGTTCGGTTTTGCGCTGTTGAGCTTGACAATCGCTCATAACTCAGCAGGCGGGAGCAGCGATCGTAGGATGACTGCAGGCAGCAGACGACAATTGTCAAGACGGTGGCTAGGTAGGCAGAGAATACATTGGAGCTAGTGAGCTACTAGCCCCTGCGTTGAAGTATCGCTATCGAGTGCCCTACGATGTCAATGGAACTCGTACATGATCTCAACAGATGCTTCCTTGATGTGGCACTCCCATCCCCGCTGCTTGGCCCGCAACCATACTCCGATCCTGTCCCCAGGTTGCAACGCCTGCACAAATCCCGCCCCAGCGAAAGATCCGTCCGCCTTCGCGTCGGGATCTATGCCGCGTTGGTCAACATTCCATTCGAGAACGTGCCGATGGTCCTGACGTTCTGCGATGCGATTGTTTTGTAGACGCCACGTGAGCTCGTCACCGTTCGCCACCAACAACCATCCGGTGGGCTTCAGCAGCTCCTGGACCTCGAGCATACCGGTCCCGGGGTTGCGAAACTCTCCCCAGAGGTCAGAGATAATCTCGAGGCTTGTAGAGACCCTTGGTTCTCCGGGTACGCGGCGGAAGATACACGCGTCGTACCAAGAACATGCCCCTTGGTACTCTCCTGGTAATACGTGAGTACCTTCCTCGTGCGACTCAAGTACTCTGCAGGCTCACCTCGACGTTCATCTGCCCATCCTTGATCGTGGCCTTCCAGTGTCCACAATGTCTTCTTCACTCTGCAATAAGTGTCCTCGAGATAACATGGAATGGGCGGGCTGATGAGGTAGAGAACGGCTGCCCAGCACGCCTCTGTATCGTGGTACCAGCCAGCATCTATGTGCATACCATCCTTGCGTTCCGCTCGCAGTGTTGGATGGTAGTCTGCGATGTCCATGATATAGAGCACTAGCTCCATCGGTATGCGCAAGGATGAGAGCAGGGAGCGAACCTGCCGCACAAACGCCCGGCTATGACCTGGAGGAGTGGCTATCACGGCAATAGTCATCGCGTAGGTGAGACACTGTTGGGAGTGAGCTACGTGCGTCGTGGGCGAGTCGAATAACACATCTCTTCAGCACTAATTCGTCAAGCTCTATTAGGCCCATGTGCTATGCGGTTGGGGCCGCCTCTTCACTTGATATAATATAGACACAGCCCATAAGCAAGCCTTCGATAGCTCAGTTGGAAGAGCGTGGGACTGTAATGGCTACCCGGCTCATCCCAAGGTCACTGGTTCGATCCCGGTTCGAAGGATCCTTTTGCGCTTTTGTGGGATTGAACCAATGATCTCATGGCCACTCACCTTCCTCTCGTTTGGCGTCGACTGCCGCCGCAACATGTCGTATGCCCGTTGCATTGGGGTATACATAAAGTTGATTAGGTGCGTGAGCTAGGATCGAACCTGCGACGTGTCTAGCCATGGTCTGGGTGCGCTGGAGATTGCCGAGAGGACTTGCGAACTTGATCGACGTGCGTCATGCGTCGCCGACTCTGCTCAGCTCCATTCCCAGCTTGCCATGGCCGGGACAAGAGGATTGTCTCAGGGACCGCTCTGTCCACAACAAATGAAACAAGTTTAGTCCGTTGTGGGGATCACGCCGAGGTGAAAGCTCGCCTACGGTGTACGTATGGTACGAGAGCGAATAAATTGGGTGTTTGCTGGACGGAAGACACAAGTGACCCTACTAAGTTGCGTGTCCATGATTGGCCACAGCTGGCGCGGCCTCCTCCCCCAAAGCCTCACCCAGGACCACAAGTCATCGTAAGAGAGCCGATAGCTTGAGCTATACTCGAACCAAGAAAGAATGCATTGATTGGATCGACAATGAATGAACGAACGTAGGACGAAGTAACCACAGCAAGGGTGAAACTAGGCGGGAGTGTGAGTGGTGATTATACCGGAGCAGTATGTGTGCGTGCATATGTATTGGCAAGATAATGAGGTCATAAATTCGTTACAGTCGTGAAGCAAAAGATCGAACATTTGCGGAACCCCAAATTACATGATAACGCACCACTTCCCTTTGTTCTTCTTCTCATCCACGTTGCCATCGACGGGGGTGGCAGGGGGGGCCTCGACCGCGGGAGACGCCACAGGCGAGTCGCTGGGGCTCTTAGCGAATACGCCGGTGGCGATCTCCAAGGAGGCGCGGCCTTCCTCAGGAAGCTTAGTCGTACTCGAGAACCAGCCACCGGGGAAGAAGCGGGAGGACGTTGTCGACTCGAGACGAGCACGAGGGTTAGATGGGGACACTTCCGCAGGAGCTGAAGACTTGGACTGGTCGATCTGAATCTGCTCGTTCTCGTCGACGACAGCGAGGAGGCTAAGACTCGGTCTGTTGAGAGCACTATCAGTAGTCATTCTCCAAATGAACACGGCAGAGACTGCTCACTTCGAAGAGACCTTCCTCGGCCCTTCATTGGATCCTTCGGTGGCAGGGAAGCTCACGCTCTGGCCGTGACCATTGGTCGTAACATCGGGCACAGGCTTCACAGCTTGCTCAGCAGATGTAGCGGGCTCCTCGTCTGCGCCGACATCAGAGGCAGGACCTTGTCTCGTGACGGAGTACGAAGGTGTCCAGGCGAGAGGTTCCTCCCCATCACGGTTCTCAGCGGGCTGAAAGATGGCTCGTAAGAGGATCGATGTGTGAAGTAGGGCAGCCACATACCTCAGTATGAGTGACGGGAGCCGACTCCTCAACGACGATGGATGGCTTCTCATGCTGCACCGGTGGGAGAAGATCCTCAATCTCCCCAAGCTCCTTCGTCGAAACAGAAGGAGTGCCAAGAGGACTGTTGCCTTGATATGTAACAGAGTAGGATGGGGTCCAAGGGGACTTTGGCCTATCCGCTGGTACAGTCGGAGGCGTCTTCGGCTAGCGGGAATTGAGCACTGGAGTGACAGCAGGCGAAGGCACAGCGAACTTACCTCCGGGACATCTTCCGCGGTGTCAGTGACGATCACTGGCGCAGGCGTCTCCTCTATCTGTTCAGAAACCGCAACGTCGGGCTCGGTGACCTCAACAACGGGCTCGGGAACCGCCTCGACGGGCTCAGGCGCTTGAGATACTTCCGACTCAGCCAGAGGAACAACCTTCAGCTCCTCCACAGAGACAGGGGACGGCCCATGAGATACCTCTGCCTCAACCGCAGGCTCAGGAAGCGACACAATCTCCTTGACATCTGCGTCCTCAGCCGTCTGCTGAGGCGTACGGAGAGGACTGGAACCTTGGGAATTGACGGAGTACGAAGGAACCCAAGTGGACTTCGGCGCTTCCTCCAGCTGCACACAGCGTATGAATGAGTGTACGTTCCAACCACGATGTCGAAGCCTCGGGGACGTACCTCAACGGCTTCGACTTCCTCTGTAGCAAGTACCTCGATAGCAGGCGCCTTCTCGATAGCTTCGACTATGGCTTCCTCGACAAGTGGTTCCTCCGGTACCGCCATTTCCGGAACAGCTTCCACTTTGGCGGCTTTTGCCGGCTCGTCAATGTCTTCCGTCGGAGCGGTAACCTCCGCAGTAACCTCCTCAGCCGGAGCGGGCTCGGGCTCGGCAGCAGGCGCAGGCAGTGGCTCCTCAACGACCTCTTCCGGCAATGGCTTGGGAGAGTGATGCGGGCTCGTTCCCTGGGAGCTGACAGAGTACGATGGCACCCAGGAAGGCGACTTCGGACGATCGACTGCCTCTTGTGGAGCAGCCAGCTCAGCAGCGGCTTCTTCCTCAGGCTAAACAAGTCGCGCATACAGTCAGTGAACTTTCAAAATAGGCTCATTCGAATGAGCATACCTCGGCGGTGACCTCGACGAGAGGAGTTGGCACTGCCGCTTCCTCAGTCGCAGGAGGAAGTTGTTCAAGCTCCGCGATCTCCTTCTCTTCCTCAGCATCGTTCGCACCCGGACCTTGGGTAGTGACACTGTACGACGGAGTCCAAGGCGACTTGGGCCTTTCCTGGAGCGAAGGAGACGGCGACGGGCTACGCGAGAACGCGACAGGCTCAGCTACGGCCTCGATTTCTGCGGGCTCATCGTTGACAGTATCGATGGCGACCACCGGAATTCCAACTTGAACGGGGGTCTCCTCAACAGGCTCAACGGCTTCTGACTCCTCTGCAACTGCGACTTCTTCGGTGGCAGCGACGATTTCAGGTTCGACTGCAGCATGTTCCACAGCAAGGACTTGCTCGACAGCAGCATCATGTTCCTCCTTGACGTCCTCGACGACAACAGTCGCATCCTCCACAATCGGCACCTCGACCTCTGTTGCAGGCACCTCGATAGCGGCTTCCTCAGCAGCAGCAGGAGTAGTAGTGATCTCCTCAGCCGGAGCTGCTTCCTCGACCTCTGCAGCATGGGCCTCCTCCGCTACGGCAACCTCCGCTGTAGACATAACAGCAACCTCTTCGAGCGATTTCTCGACGGGGGCAGGCTCTTCGGCGGGTTCGGCCTCAGCGTCTGCGACAGTAGCCTCCTCCGGCGCAGCAACTTCTTCGGAAACAGGGGCGGGCTCCTCGGCAACCGCAGCTGGTGTTTCGTCCACGGCAGCAGCCTCTTCCACAGCCAGGATCTCCACAGAAGGAACTTCGGCCACAGCATCGACTGATTCATCGACAGGGATCACCTCCTCTACAACCGCCACCTCGACGGGCCCAGCGTCCTCGGCTATAGCCTCTTCGACAATCTCCTCGGATGCGACGGGAGGGGGCTCCACTTCCGCCTCTGGGACATCCGTAGTCTCAACAATGGGAGCCTCGGATGGTGCGGTCTCCTCTAATACAGGGGTATCATCTGCAACGACAGGATCCTCAGCGGAAGGAGTTTCTCCTGCCTCCTCGGCGGCAGGCTCTTCTGCTGGCGCCTCCTCTGTGGCAGGGAGGCTCTCGACGACTTCCTCGATGGCGAGGACTTCCTCAGCCTCGGGTTTGCTCGCTTCGTCAGCTGAAGCATCCGCCTGCTCATGAGCGGGCTTCTCCTCGGGCACTCCGGTCTCGTGAGATACCTCAAGGGCATCGGGTTCTTCAGCGACCACTTCCGGCGCAGACTCGGGAACGACTTCGGGCTCAGGCGTAGGCTCCTCGACGGCAGCGGCCTCGGACTCTGCAGGCGCGCTCTCGATGGCGTCTTCGACAACCGGAGCAGGGCTGTCCTCCGCGTGCTCAGCGTCAGGCTCTTCGACAGCGACTTCAGATTCCTCAATAACAGGTGCCTCCTCCGCAGCGATCTCAGCAGCGACTGACTCCTCGGGAACGGCGGCCTCGGCAATGGGCTCAGGCTCGGGCTCGGGTGCGGACCTCTCAGCGACAACAGGTGCAGAGGTCTCTTCGACGACGGGCTGCGACTCAGGGGCGGACTCTTCAGTTTCGTTTGGCGCAGCGGTCTCCTCGACGACGGGTACCTCCTCAGTGGCTGGCTCCTCAGCAGCCTCTTCGACGACAGGAACGGTCTCCTCCAACGCGCCGGGTTCAGCTGCGGGCGCAGGGGTACCTTCATCGGCAGTTGCGACAGCAACAAGAACCTCGTCGACTGGCGCGGGAGACTCTTCTTCAGCGACAGCTTCTTCAGTGGGCGCAAGCTCCTCAGCGGCAGGCGTCTCCTCGACCACTGGAACTTCCTCGGTGGCGGGCGCGGGCGCGTCCTCTTCGACTGGCTCCTCCGTGGGGACGGGCGCGTCCTCGGTAGGCGCGGCGACTTCATCAGCGACGTTTGCGACGGCGTGCGTCTCCTCAGGCACAGTCAGCTCATCAGCTGCAGGCGCCTCAGTCACAACCTCTTCTGCCACAGGAGCGGGAGCGTCTTCGACGGCCGGAGCTGGCTCCTCTGCCTCATCCGACGGGGCCTCTGCGGGAACAGCGCTCTCTTCGGGGACAGATGCAGCCTCGGTCGTGGTCTCTTCGGGCTCTGGGACGGGAGCCTCGGCTTCAGTGACAGGTGGCTCGGCCACCTCAGTGGGAGCAGGAGCAGGCTCTGGCTCGGATTCGTGTACAGGCCCTTCGACCGTCTCGTCGGAGGATACCGCGGGATCGGTCGGTTCTGGAGCAGTGGCCTCCGTGACAGGTTCCTCTCCCGTGAGAGCGGCGTCCTTGACGACCGGAGATGGTTCCTGGGGAGGCACATCTTCCGCTGGATACTCTCCAACTAGTACCTAATCAGTCCTGCAATGCATTGACACGAGTCGCAAGAATACACGCACCAGTAGCAGTGTCAGCAGGCCCGGCGGGGACAGAGGGCTCCACCTTGTCGTCTGCCACGTCCTCCGCAACATCATCTGCCTGTATCGTCCAAACGAGCGATTTTGAGCCCATGAAACGCAGTATGGGTGGATATACAGACATACCTCGGGATGCGCGTCCGCCACAGACACCTCGGCACCTTTGTTCTCGATCGCGTCATTCTGTGCGCTAGCTGCTGCCTCTGTGGTCACCTCCTCGTCTGTGGGCTCCTGTGCGCTGGCATCAACAGCGCCATCTTCCTCTTGGTGAACACAGTCGTGTGCCGGAGTTTCTGTCTTACTGAGCGCGTTCACGACTTCATCCAAAGCCGGGTCGACGTCAGCGGTCGCAGCGGGACCTGCAGATGTCTCGCTGAGGAGATGAACAGGCTGCGCTGGCTCTTCGAGAGCAACAGACATTGGGGGAGTGGGTAGGCTGTGGAAGGACGAGAGAGATAAGCCGGAGTGGCTGTACGAGCTAGGAGGCAATAGTGGCGGGAGTGCTCACGCGCACTTCCCTTCCAACACAGAACCAGCAGAAAGCGAACAATCCGCGCTTTTCCTCTTTGCGTCAATCTCAGATCCCTTCTTTCCCACCAACGACGCGCAAGGCACGTGATCGTATTTGCACCATAACAGGCAATTTCTTCCTTCAGCTCGGCGCGTCCGACCGGCGAATCCAAGGCCCAATACACATAACATCGAGATCGCATACACTGGAACAGCGGTATGCTACAACACGACATCGTCCACTTTCTCTCGTAGATATAGTCTGTAAGTGAACGCGCGCCGTTACACGGCAGCTCAGCCAAGTAGAGCTGCGCCCAGAAGGCCAAGCAGACCTGCAACACCGATTGTCCCCACACCGGACGGCCCGACGGCAGCATTGCTGCTAGCGCTGGATGAATTCGCAGAGCTCGTGCTTGAAGGATGCGCCGAAGTACTAGTACTCGCACTGGAGCTTCCGGCTGCATGAGCCCCTGTGGGGGCTGCGCCAGAGCTCGTCCTATATTCAAGCGGTCAGTTGCCCAGTCATAGTGCTATCCAGAAAATTTCGTTACGGGTTTGGCGCGATGGCAGTAGTTGTAGGCTGGTTAATAGTTGCGGCCGATGACACCTGACTTGAGGCAGCTGAAGAAGCTGGAGGGGCCGACGCTGTGCTTGTGAGGCAGCTGCAGCAGGTGATCAATAGGTTGGACTCGCGTCGACATGCAGGGATGGGCTCAACCTATTGTCCGGTCCGGGCTGCACATTCTGGATGTCCGAATAGGCTACCGCGCCAGTCTTGTCTCTGAGCTCCGTCGTACTGGACCATACGATTGTGAACATAGTTGTCAACTGCTATGGCTATGTGCGTCTCACAACGAGGTGCCCGAGGCCAGGTCAACCGTCCAGGTATACGAGTTACCATTCTGAATGGGAAACTGTCTGATCTGAGGTAGCGGGTATAAATTCCATGTGAAGCTCATATGACCAGTCGGCAACATACCGCTTGGGCCGAAGGTTGTCCCCCTATGATCATAGTGTCGTTCAGATGCGTTTCCCGTCAGGGTCCAAGAGCACATACCCGGAATCAACGAGAGGTAATATGGAGCCTGCCCCCCAGACCAGGTGAACTGCACAGGAACTGACATGTCGATAAGCGGTCTGACAGCCCCATCGACAGCATATGCTGCTCACCACATTCAGTAGGCCCCGATCTGCATAGAGTAGGTTCAGCATACCGACCACAAGCTGAACCCTTGCGGGAGACGTACAGAGTATTAATCATGAGATTTCCAGAAGCTGAGGCCTGAGCCATTGCCAGGAGGCAAGCTACCAAGACGGTGATGGCAGTGGTGAGCAGCATCTCAGTCCGACGTCAAAGGGTGCAGGGAATGGGGTCAAAGGAGGGGATCGTCTCGGCAACCCAAGGGGAGTAGAGTGAGCGTTGATATAGTCCGTGAGGCGGTCTCTGGGGAGTGGTTGGTATTTGACTAGAGCCGACAGCGTGAAGGTATCCGAAGTCGCGGCGGAGAATGAACTGTGGCAGGGACGAAAAGAGCAGTGCGACAGAAATGGCGAATACTTTGCCTATTTTGTTCACCGCCGCACCTTCTTACCATGTGCGCCCGAATAGCGCCAAACCTGCGTCCTAAGGCCCGAAACGCCGCAGCATGCAAAGAATGCTATTGTCATACATTGAGCAACATCGCAAGTAAGCAAAATGCCACATAAAATGAATGTGACGTGCGCCGACTGCGCTACATAGCAAGAGATACGGCACCTAGATGTACACATCACAGACCAATCCAACTGCTTTTGCCTCCAGCGTTGTGCAGCGCAGTCTGACTGATCTTCACGAGGCTCACGCCCTCCTTTTGTCTGTCTTCCGCCATGCCAAATGACGCCCCACCGCTAGGCACTTGCAATGTCAAATGAGGCACATCCAGTAGGGGACTTGTCACCTGGATGGGGGTGCTGACGAGCGGGCTGAGGAAGCTGCTGTCCGGGGACGGACTCATCGGCGACAGGGAGTCCTTCCAGATGGGCGATGATACAGAAGAGCTTGGTACGGGGAGGAATGCTTCCGCGTACCACTCGTACCATATCTTGCGCGCGTCCGTCAACCGCCACAGCGAGACCGTCAGCTCTGCATCGGCGGGGAGGTACAGCGGATCCTGCGGAGCTGCGCGTCAGTATTGGGGTCGGGGCTTCCCAGAACAGCCTTGGGAAGGCAACAAACATACCTTGAGCGGGAAGAAGAGCGGGAACCAGCTCAGCATATCCTTTGATATCAGCGCCATCCGCTCTGGATGAATGCTGATGCCGACGTTTCTATACAGCACGGCCTCGAAATATCCACCGAACCCGTGAAGGACGCCAGCGTGGGGGATGTGGAACGTGAGCTTGGCCGACCTGACGTTATGGCTATTCGTCAACGGCAAACCTGCAAGCGTTGAGCCAAGCAATCTGCGTAAGCTTCAACATCAAGCGATACTTGTCAAAGGGAAGATGGTGAAAACGTTGCAGGCATACCTTGCTCTGTCAGGGCTGCATCTTTCCTTGGGTGCTCGAACTCCCAACATTCTTGTATCCGAGGGCCACACGTCCCGCTAATACCGGTCCCGTTGTCGCTCAGGATGTTGATCGCATGGAGCATGACCACATATGGTGTCTCGGATGACTTCGGGTCCTTACTCGCCCTCGTCTCGTTATAGAGCTTGGAAGAGGAGAGAGGCGCGATGTATGCCGTGTACGACGACGGTATGGAGATGCCGTCCGCTGCGTTCCTTCAGCTTGACGTCTGACAGAACGAGTCAAATGAAACCTTACGCTTCAAGAACCTCATCGCACCGTCGAGACATTCCGGGCTGAGCTCATTGTCTCCGAATGAACCCAAGAGCTCGCTGACGAGGATGTCCACCTTCTCCGGAACTTTTAGGGTGCGCATGTCGCCGTAGAGCAGCGCCACCTTCTCGTCGCCCCACTCGTTGCGGTGACGCTCCTGGAGGCTGCGTACTACCCCTATCAATGAGCGCTCACAGAACCCTGCCGATCGACTTACGTGACATATGCGTTCGGGTTCTTCTCCACCGCGTAGACGAAAGCTTCCACCTTCGCACGCGCGATAGCCTTCAGCGATCGAGCTACTAGAGGCCCGCGCCCCGCGCCAGCGACGCAGATCGTGCTGCGAAAGATGAGTATGTGCCACAACAGCACTCACACCGTCGTGCATCACATCTGCTCACATTTTCTCAGGCTTCTCCCAGTCTCTCAGGGCGAGGTAGATGGCCTGCAGGTGCATGAGAACATTAAGTGCGCGCAGCGGTGCGACCCTGCAGTATCGTACCTCCTCGTAGTTCCGGTACTTCACCGGATCTTGCTCAAACGTCTGGTAGGTGATGCTTTGCAGGTTATCCATGAGCGGCTGAACAAAACCCGTTGAGCCAGGGTCAGAGGGCGCAGAAGATGCATCGGGCTTACCTGCAGCGGGGCCTGCAAGTAGTCTTGGTAGCCCTGAGCGAAGTGCTCGACCGTGCCCGCAGTCGTGGCAGCCTTCACGAAGGAACTGGTCTTCTCAAGGTGCCGGACATACTGGAGATAAGCCAGCTCGCCCCCTCGAGGGTGCTTCTTCGCCCTTGTTCCGGAAAGGATCACGGTCGGTTGCAACTAGCGCGTAGATTCAGGCTTGTCAGCGAACTCTAGCCGTCCATGCCATCGAGACATATGAACTGACCTTGAAAATGTCCCGAATGAAAGACTGCGTGCCCTTGGGCAGAACAGGGTACCCCTTCGCGTTCGCAATAAATGTTGACGCCGGTAGCCACAGATATCGGACCGGCTCAGCGAGCCACTGGTTCAGCACGGTTGACGATAACGGCAAGGGTGGAGTAAGATCGAGAGCTGCCGCGCTTGAATCAGTTCCGCCGCGGACGTCCAAACATAACACGCGTACTAACTCAAGGTCAACCTCGGGTTATATCCGCATATTGTCCGTATGGTGTCCCACATCTCCCAAGTCGTCAGATTTGACTCCGGCGGAGAGCCAACAGCCAGATCATTAGACGACGCTGAGGAGAAACGCGAAGTGGACGGCTCCACCGGAGAGGGTACTGGGGACGGCGAGCGTGAAGGGACTTGCACCACGGTGACCGCGTCGTAGATGGGTATCTTGACGGAGAACTCCATGTATGGTACCGAGCTCAAACACGCGTTGATCGCACGAGCGTACGATCCGACTTGGATACGGTTATTTGGAGTTGGGAGGATTGCACATGGTGCGTTCAGGTAGGACGCAAACGCAAGCTCTTGGTGAAGGGCCTAAGGGTGACAATGGACATGGAATAGGGTGAGCGACGTCAGCCCACGAAGTTCCGTGCATCCTGCGAAGCCGAAACTTAGGGGAGACTAGAGCGACTCACAATCTCAGCGTCATGGCGAACCCAGTCATCGGTCGCGTCAAGTTCGAGCCAGTCCGAAATCAGGGGAATGATGCACTCGGCCTCATCTAGACCACACACCATGGTGCGCCATTCCCGTCAGACCGTCTCCTGTGATGAAGAGCGCACAAGGCAAACTTACCTAGCCGGGATACCGTCACTTCGTCGCGAAAGAACGCGGGCTTGGATCTCCACGCCTCGGCGCGCTGCTCGATCTCCGCGAGCGTGTCCTGCTCCTCGTCTGGGTTGAGGATGCACAGCTCCCTCCAGCGTGCCTTCCACTTGTCGGTCGTAAGGGGCACGCAGATCGTCTCGTAGCCATCCGTGCGCGCGTCTGTCACGGCTCGAAGGACGGGCGTGTCGTCTCCTAGGTCGTCGCGCTGCGAGAGTACGTTCAAATCATCATGCGTGTGGTGGGCACTGAAGACAGGCATGTCGGACAAGAATTGCCCAGGCTATCGCATCGGCGAATGATGGAGCTGCACAAAGGTGAGTGGGCGGTGGCTTTAGATTGTCCTTGCAGTAGGGGCGACCAGTAACTTGGTGGCGGCGGCGATCTGTTCGCGATCTGTGACCATCTAATCATTCGAAGTAGTAGATAGACGCTGTATCGATTCTACGGTACGATCAGATCGACCTCGTCCATGGCTTCAATCGGTGGCACTCAGTATTTCATTCAACTCTAACGGCGCCAGCATAAGGTGCAATCAGACGGCAGCGACCAAGCCGCATAGAACCCTACTCGTAAGGTAACGTAATCCCGCACCCACGCACCCAGCGGAAGACCTCCGCGCTCAACCTCCCTCCATCCGCGGCCGCTTCGCGTCCTCTCCGTCTCTCTCTTCAGGGCCGTCCTGCCCCGCAGCATCCGCGCCCATTCCGTACCCTGTGATGACGCCTTCAATCACCGCCCTGCCGACGATCTGTCGCAGCTCCTCTTCTGGGACTTCCCTGCCCTCTGCCTGAGCACGCTGGATGACGTCTTGCACGGACAAGAGCAGCGACGAAGTCAGGTTCTCAGACGCCACGTTTTGCGCGTGCTGCGAGGGCTGTTCGTGTGCCTCTGCGGGAGCTGTTGCCCCATCCTCGGCTGTGTCACCTCCGACACTTCGGAGGTAGGCGGCCACGGCAGGGAACTCCTCCCCTTCCAGGTACTGGGCAGGCTGGGGGCTTTGTGAGCCGGTGGCGGGAAATGGCTGGCGCAGATGTCCTCACCGATAAGCCTTCCGAGTTGTGCCGATTGACGACAGCACCACGCTCGACAAGAAACCTGGCAGTGTCGATGTTCTCGACCACATAGAGCGGTGTGTCTCCGTCTTCGTCGGTGACATTGACGTCGCCGCCTGGGGAGTCATGGTCAGGAAGGTGTCATCCTATCTCATGGTGACCAACCTTGCGATATCAGGTATTCGAGGATGTTCAGGTGTCCGTATGATGCCGCAGCGTGCCTAATGAAGTCATGAGCACGCACATCGGAGGTCATTCCCCAATATGAGTCTTCCGATGCTCACATGGGGGTGTATGTATTCTCATCAGGTACATTTGCAGATATTGCTACAAAGATGATTTCAATGTTCCATGTCAGACGAATACTGACAATCTCACAAACAGTGTACTTCTATTAGTTCCTGCGGGGTAAGGAAGTCGGTTGAGCCCTAGAACTCGATAGGGGTAAGACTAGCATTCTAATGCATACCCTCACGCGTTCTAGATCGCCGTCTCCAGCCGCGATCCAAATGTTCTTTTCATGTTCTACGTTAGTGGAGACCGGCATGGTGGTAGACGTATGTCTAAAAGTTTCAGCAGTGCTCCGTCACAGGCGCCGGCGAGGCCGACAGCTTCGACCACGTGATATACCATATTAGGATATGACACTGATTGATTCTCGTGCCCGGTTATTGCCTAAGTCTGGCCCAGTCCTGTAGCATGCACACGGTCTAAACCCCTGGATACATATACACGAGCTATGGAAAGGAAAGTGTCAAAAGTGAGCGTATTTGCGAGTAGCCACAGTTGACCCAACGACCCGCCATAGCGAGCGTTCCCTCATTCCCTCCGTGATGACTCGAAGTGGCGCAACCTAGATGCTCTTACTCTGCTTGGAGTGTGTGAGAGGTGAAGGGCATATAGGGGAGCTTGCGGCGCAAATTCATTGCCAAACTAAATTGTTGGCTTCGCTGCAAAAATGACTAAGAGGCTGACTGCCGCCCAGTTCAACCATTGTACACGATACTGGCGACGAATATGCGGATGACACGACCTCCGCGGTGAGGTATATCACAGTCAAGGTGAAGGCTTCATTGGAATGGGTCCAAGAGGAATCTAGACTGCGGGGGGAAACTGGCCCGTGGCTCATAAGACATATTAGCCGCTGACCGCATCACAAGGCTGGTAACGCCCACTGGAGTGATGATAGGTCAGCTCGCTTCAAATTCATTAGTGCATCACTATCGCTGGTTGGGATGTACGCGTACAAAACAAGCATGAACGGTCTTGATGCGTGCGCAGTGGCATCATGTATCTCAGATAGAAGAGATGTTAGACATTAATCGAGGAATGGAAGCGCACTTGTGATCAACATTATTGGGACGACTAGGGACTCCTGCCTGTGTCAGGGGACATCTGTCTACATGCCAGGATGGAATTTTCCGCGCTGCGGCGCTGAATGAGCCGCCCGAAGAGTGGGACTAATAGTCCGCAGTTGGTTGACCGACGCGCTCACGATGAAATCTCAAGAAGCGGATCTGCGATCTGAGGCTGGATCTTCGGATTTGTCCTGGTAAGCGCCTTATAGCCGAGGAGGACAGATCACGTCCGGGGATACAGCAGCGGGGTTTTCCCAGATCTGCGCGCGCTGTGCAGGCCAATACAGAGACATGCGGGGGCGTGAATACGGGCGCGATCTGGGCCGGTGATGGCGCAGAGCGGTCGAGTCGTGGCTGGGCGACGGGAGGCGGACAGTCGGTTTGTGCGTGGCTGGATCTGGGTAATTAAGATCAAATTCGGGGGAACGGCTAGCCGAATTAGTGCGTGTCCGAGTCGGGGGTAGGATCTATGGCGGCGCTGGGGCACGACTTGGCGGAAGACGCGTGCTGTGCGGTGGCAGGTGTGAGGGCGGACGAGAGTGGGCAGGGGTCGGACGGGGCGGGGCGGGGGGCGTCGAGGAAGAGGAGGAAGAGGCGGACGAGATAGGCTTTGCTGATCGGAGGCGTGCCGAGCGATATGCGACTCTGACAAGTCTGCGAGCGTCTGCAGGGAGGTCGAACCTGAGCTGCAGCGGCAGGCAGCGGAGCCCACAGGCGCCCCTGTGTTGGACCTCCTGGTGAGAGTTGCGGCTGCGGCCGCTCTCGCCTCGCCTTCCGCTCCTTTGCCCCTATCCATCAGCATCGCCTGCCGTCCGCCTCGTTCTCTCCGCTACCTTATTCCATTTTCTAACCACCACGCACCCATACCTTACTCCCGCATAGTCTTACCTTATCCACTCGCCATGAGTTATCTGGCCTCCCAGCATCGAGGCTACAACTCTCTTTCCCATCCCGACCTCCCCCAGCACCCCCCGATCCACTCCGCACACCCTCCCCGTCCCCCCATGCACGCCCCGCCCTCTTTCCCCGATCTCCCGCCCTCCTCCTTCTCCCCAGCCCCGCCCAGCCCTATGCCATCCAGCTTCCCTCATCCATCTCACGTACCCGATCATCCCCACATCAATTTGCCGAGGCTGGGTGAGACACGGTGCTGTGAGTCCTCCCCCGTATCCTCGGCGATCGTTCATCGATCGACCCTGCACTCCGAGCCCCGTTCCGTTTCCATGCTGACTGGCCGATATGATCATCACAGACTGGACGCTCCTCACCTCCGACTTGACCTTCCTCTACCTTGATCCTGTCCTCGCAAGCCACCTCGGCGAGCAAGCTGACTTGCTTATAGGCAAGCCGCTCTTAGCCTACGTCCACCCCGATGAACAGGCGTCCGCAAAGGTAGATCTCGGAGCTGTGCTGGAGAGTCGGACTTTGCACGGCAGCGTCACTCGGTGAGTGCTTCGATGTATGATGCGCGTGTTAGCTTCTTTCTTATGCAGGCGCCGTGTCCAGCGTCCGCTACTCTCGATTGTCGCGCGTCCGTCGGCAGTTGGGATACAATGGTCCCCCTTCGGAGTGGATAGACGCTGATAAGATCGCCGTCGACTCAAACTACATGGCGGTCGACATCGTCATCAACTACGCGGCCGACGGCTTGGTGCTCTGCTTCATCCACGCTGTTGTCGACCTCACGCCACGAGACAATGACGAACACAACAAGACGTGCTGGACAAACTGGTGTGGCACAGCCAGTATGGGCATGGAGCAGGCTCAGCTCCTATATGGCCGCCTACAGCAGGCTTTGCCCCCTCCGCCTACCATGTCTCGCGTGTTCCAAATTCTTCTGAACCAGCCTAACAGGCCGTTGTGTCTCAGTTGGCCCCAGGAGCGCCCCGGTGAGCCGACTTCAAAGGACTTTGCGCGGCTCGCCGAGGACATCCAAATCACTAGCACCGGCACTGACGCCCGAACAAGCTGCACACGGAGGTACAAGGCATGCCAAGTCATGGAGTTCTCCATGGGTGACAAGCGGGAGGTGGAGAGTATATTTATTCCTCATGGTGCGCCACCCTCTTCATCTCTAAACGCGCTTGATCCCTAATCCGAACCGCCTCAGGCGCCATTATCTTCGCATGTCACAAAATCACCCCGTACCCCCGTTCTAACGTCGGCGGCGGAAGTGGAATGCCACAACTCGGATATCATTCGGGCAACTACGCATCCCAAGGAAACGCTCAGCAGTACTACGACTCGCCTCAAAACCACCCTCAGAACCCCCACAATCCTCACATCTCCTCCCTCCACTCATACACCTACAGTCCTCAGCCTCAACCACCGATGTCGTCGTCCTACCCACCGAATGCTTGGGTCAACATGGAGTCGTCGGGTTCCCCGAACCCGTACGCTCATTGGGCCCCTAGTTCTCTTCCGAATGGGGCCCCTATCAGCAGCATGCGCACATCTTCCTATTCTGCACCTCCGCCACCTCCGGCGCCGCAGCACCAGTGGTCACCACACCAACCTACGTACTTGGACACCGAGTCTCCGGTCTCTCCGGACGACCCTTCTCTCCCGAGTCCTGGAGGGATGTATCACGCTTCCGGCCCTCTGGACCAGGAAGAGCAGGCCCCGCCGTCGCCACTCAACGACTTGGTTCCCGCTCCTAGGTCCGGACGACGGAACAACAGGGAGCAATACGGGAACGGCGGACGTACAGCGGGCAACCCTCCCGTGGGAGTCGTGAAGTGCGCGAGCTGTAAGGCGACTCATAGCCCAGAATGGCGAAAAGGTCCAAGCGGGAAAAAGGACCTGTGCAATGCGTATGTGTTCTTTCATATCAGATTCATCTGGATCGTCGGTTAGCTCACGTCTCTTTTCCTTCCATCCAGCTGTGGGCTGCGCTTTGCGCGGTCGCGTGCTAAAAAGGAAGGAGGCAGCCAGCGTCGCCGCAAGGACCGCGCGATGAGCACGTTGTCCACGTCCACGAAGCCAGACCCGTCGCCCTCTGCGTCTCCCGTGAGCGCGTCGTACCCGAGCATGCGGCGAGGAAGCTTCTTCGAAGAAGGTTCCTTCCTCTCTACATCATCTGCAGGCTCAGGGTCCGGGAACGACAGCTTCTCGCATGGCCCACCCTTCGACGGCATGACTCCGTCGCCCTCGCCCCCGTCTGGCGGCATGCACTACGTGCCCGGGCACTCTATGGGCTACAACCCATCTCCGATGCCAGTCGACAGACACGGCTTCGGCGGCCACCCGAACCCGAACCAGTACTACTCCCTTCCGCCTCCGCAATCTGGCTTCCCGCAGCAGCCAGCCGCCCATCACCTGCCCTCGAACGGCCACCACCCCCTGCCTCCCGCGCGCCTGGAGCCGGTCATGCCATACTCCAACAGGCTCTCTCCGCTCATGTCCCCTGCGTCGCCTGTCTCGAACTCGCCGCTCAGCGCCGGGCTGTCTGCCGCGTCGTACGAACGGGACAAGCGGTACGAGAGGGAGGCGGACCACTTCGCGATGGGGCAGCCTCCGCTCGGACCTGAGCACTCGTACCGCATGGGAAAGCAGACGGGGTATATGGCGCGTGAGTCCGGACCGTATTGAGCTGCGGGTTCCCTTAAAATCTGTCGCGACACCCCCGGCCGTCACCTAACGTCTGCTTATTATTCTCTACCCTACTCCTTCGTTTCCATATTCCCGCAACGTCAGGTAAAGTTTGTTATTGTAACGATCCCGTTCCGTATTCGATTCTCGGATCGGTGTATTCTTGTTGTTGTTCGGTACTTCTACCGCCGACCCCCAAGTGTAGCGCTCGCATGTACGGAGGGGCGTGCGGTTTGACCTTCGCCCTTTGACGATATTTATCCTCTGTATTCGAACCCCCTATTGTCGTCTACGCAGATTGCACTCAGCCACGACACGACCCGCACGCCGCATCCCCAGGAACCATACATATCGCTATAGTTCTCATGCCCTGATCGTGTATTTGTAATAATTCTCGCCCAGAATGGTAGATGTTTGTCTCTGGCTATTCGCCCGTGTGTACGCCCGTCCGTTTGGCTCAAGCGTCCCAGAGCGAAAGCTCAGCGAGACGAGAAGCTTTTGTCAGGATGCGAACTCTTCGCGGGCGCAGAACCGGGAGGGTACGCGTTCTCTTCGCGTCCTTTGCCTCGCCGTCGCACTAAACGAGGCCTGTGCGGAGCGGGATGGGGGATCGAGGGATCTTGTTGGTCCACCGATGCGCTCGCATGCTTTACGGCATGTGTGTGTGGCCCCAGCGAGAGGGCGCGCGCGAGCCAGGGCGTCCAGGGGAAAGCGTGCGCGCGCGACAGGTTTACTAGCACCGCGGCGAACATGCCGAGTTGGACGCCTGAGGAACGCTAGTGTGGGACGACGGCGGCGTTGTTCTGACATGTCCGAGTGGGAAGGCCGGATGCTGTGGGCGTGCGGTGCGGGGCGCCCTGCGATACGAGAGGCGTGTCCAGACCGTCAAACCGGCGGGGGTGGGCCCTTGCCTGTTTGGCAGGCTTCGCGACGTCGCTATACTTGCTGGACAAAGCGGCCACAATAATGAGTGAGAGAAAGATGGGCAAGGTTCGTGCCTCTCGACATGCCGTCGCGGCCCATCGAACGGCAGAGGGAGGTCGGGCGGTGACCGTGGTTCGAAAGCGTCTGTCACGTGGAGCAAGCTCGACGAAGGTCGGTAGCGCGCGCTGCCATGACGCGTCGCGACGCGTCTAATCACATGGCTTCACGTGCCCAGCACCGCAGCGGTAGTGATGGGCGCTCCCAATCGGAGGTCGCGAGATCGACTCATCCGGGACGCTATCGCTTGATATTCCGCTCTGTTCTGGGTGCTATCCTGAACGCTCTGTATCCACGAGCTCATCTGCCATGACCGAACAAAGCGCGGCGCCGGAAACCCAAGATGCGGCTGCACGTCCTGCAAATGACGCACCGAACGTGGCTGTGGCCGCGCCGACAGAAACCCGGTCGGTTCTCTCGCGATTCTTCCGCAAGTGAGGATCCTCATCGTTTGGGACGTGCTTAGCGGGAAGGTCACGCGAGTCGAGGTCATCCGTCCACCTGCAGCTGGGGACGGCTCCAGCGGCGAGGAGGATGAGGGTGAAGGCGAAGAAGAGGCGATCGAGGATTGGCAGATCCTCGAGGACCTGCCGGACGAGACAACGGTGCGCTTACGCGTCGTTGGCTCATCCACACAACCGCATTCCACTTACCGTGTAATCAGGACATAGAGCTCATCCACTCGCGGCTCAATTCCAACAGCGTCAGCAAGCTGGGACTGCAGCGGTTCGGGCCGCACCTGAAGCGGCTTTGTCTCCGCCAGAACTTCATCTCGCACCTCGACCCGGAAATATTCGGTGCGCTCACCAAGCTCGAGGACCTGGACTTTTACGACAACAAGATCAAGCACGTCGGGACTGCGCTGAACAACATGACGAACCTCACGTGAGTTGCCTTCTGTTCTCGTGCGTTCTCCCGTACCCGTGAACCAACTCATAAAGACGCGGAACGCAGGACGCTCGATCTGTCTTTCAATCTGATTAAGCATATCCCGGAGGAGATCGAGAAACATCTCACTTCGCTCACGACGATCTTCTTCGTCCAGAACCGTATCTCGCATATCGCGAACCTCAGTGGGCTTGCGGCGAACCTGAGAAGCATCGAGCTTGGAGGAAATCGGCTCCGAGTGCGTACCACGTAGGTCTCACATGGCTTGGACTGACATGGCCTTCGTTGCTAGAAATTGGAGGGACTGGAGGCGCTCGTCAATCTAGAGGAGCTGTGGGTGGGTAAGAACAAGATAACGAAGTTAGAGGTACGGTCATAAGAGGTCGCGTCTCCCTGGCAGGGCTTTGACCATGATCCGTAGAACTTGGATACCCTCAAAAAGCTTCGCATTCTATCAATCCAGTCCAACCGTATAACGAAGATAGAGGGTCTCGAGAACCTCGAGAATCTCGAGGAGTTCTACATCAGCCACAACGGTGTACAGCGGCTCGAAGGTCTCGAGAAAAATGTAGAGCACGCTTGGCCGTCTTTTTGCTGTGCAACGGGACTGATGCTCGCCTCAGATCAAACTGCGGACACTTGACGTTGGCAACAACTTCATCGAGCGGGTGGAGAATGTCTCCCACCTCACTAGCCTTGAGGAGCTATGGGTACGTTTCGATGTCCGTGTGAGTGCACATCCTCCCGTTGTTCATGACGGTACTGCAGATCAACGACAACAAGATCACTACCCTGCTCGATCTCGAACCGCAGCTAAAACACATCGAGACGCTGGAGACGATCTATCTGGAAAGGAACCCTGTCCAAGCTACAGAGGGTGCTGCCTACCGTAGGAAAATCATCCTCCTGCTCCCTCAGATACAACAACTCGACGCAACGTAGGCATTATCAGCGTCGTTTATTCTCCTCTATGCTCACACTATCATCAGATATGTCAAGCAATTCCCGGCATAACCGCGCGGCGTATACCGTCACCCGCAGCGCATTCGGGCGTAACGCGGGCCTTAGCCTGCCAGTCTGTGTTGTCCACGGCCTGCCGTTCCTTCTACTACACACCGCCACAGTGTCACTGTATATCAGATCTTTCAGGGACTCGATCGCGTCTGCGCACACCGATCGCGGTCGAGGGAATCTTTTAATGATGCACCGCGCGATCGCCGCACGATTGACGATTTGCGCTGCTGATCGCTCACGTCGCGCGGGGCCGCACCTTCTTTGTTCTGGTGTGCGGGACCGGGAGCGCATCGGGTGGTGGGCGGCGTGAGCTGGAATGCGCGATATGCTGGATGTAGGTAGTGCAGTCGAAGCCCGGATCTATCCTTTGATCTCATTTCGCAAAGGTCGGCCTCTACTTATGACATAGCGTGGGCGAGTCAGCGGCGGCAACCTGGGCGCATGCGTGTGATCAGAGACTATGTCAGGATGTGGTCGTCTCACTTGATGCGTGTGGACGGCCGTGCGTCGGAAATGAGAGTGAAGGTGGCCAGGTGTCGGACCTCCGAGGAGAGTGCACCCGTGCGGCAGACACGCGGCAACGCGTTGTTTGTGCGTGTTTTGCTACACCCTTCACGGCTTATATGACCACGCCCACCACGTGAGCGCGTCTCTTGCTTCCGGCCGTCATCGCTGCGCCGCCGCACCGCCTGCTTTCCGGTCGTCCCTCACTCCTTCCTGCCGATGGCCCCAAAAGACAAGTCCAGGGCTGCTGGCGTCAGCGCAAGCTCATTCATGGATCTCCAGGCGGAGTTGGAGAGGAAGAAGCAGGAGTTCGCCAAGAACAGGGCGGCCGGCAACGCCATGGCGGTCGTCGGAGGCGCCAAACGGCCGGACAAGGTACGCCCATGTCCCCCCCATATCTCGCCCCATCATGAATGCCAGCAGGATCGTGCTCGCATCTGAAACCAGAAGGAGCCGAAATGGGCGAAGCAGAACGCAGGCGTGCACGACCGCGCGGCCCGGGACGTGCGGCAGTTCGAGGACGACGTCAGGCCCAGCTACGACGCCGCCCGCGCGAGGTTGGAGAAGAAGGCGAGACAGTACAAGCTGCTGCAGCAGGGCAAGAGCGCGGGGCTGTCCGATAAGCAGTATGGCAGCGTCCTGGTGGACGTGAGCGTGTTTGCTATGTGCTGTATCTCGCCACACTGGCCGCTGACCCGACGTCGGTCGCAGTTCGAGCAAAAGGCCATCGAGCACTATCAATCCGACAGCGATGACGTTGACGAGTCTTTGACTGTCCCTGTGCCCCCTCAGGATGCGGAGGATGATCCTGTCATCGAGTATCAGGACGAGTTTGGGCGCGTGCGGACAGCCCCACGTTCGGAGGTTCCTCGCGAGTTCCTCCCCGACGCTGAGAAGGAGGACGATGAAGATTTTGAGTACGTGTGTTACGTCGCCCGACAAGGAGTCTGTATCGCTAATGTCTACCACCTGTGTCAGTCCTTATGTTATCCGTAAGTATACTGATTTTGTCAAGCACGCTTCATGTCTGACGACTCCCAGGCAATCCTGTCAATCACTTTCCCACCTGGGAGCGCAGTATGGAAGATCAGGAGAAGATCAAGGCCGCGCTCGAAGAGGACGAGCTTGCCGACATCCACTACGACGCCTCGCGCGAAGTCCGCGCGAAGGCTGCCGGCTTCTACAAGTTCTCCGAGGATGAAGAGACCCGTAGGAGGGAGCTCGAAGCATTGAATAAGAGACATGAAGAGACGCGGGAGGCGCGGGAGAAAGCAGGGGCGGTGGATGTGCTCCCGGGGCGGATTGAGGGCATGCGCGCGGACGAGGCAGCGGGATCTGAACCCGTGAGGAGTCGTGCGCAGGAGAAGCGGAAGCGCGAGTTGGAAGAGCGAAGGAGATTGTTGGAGGCGAGGAAGAGGAAGAAGACCGGAAAGGAAGAAGAGTCGCCATCGGCACCCTCCACCACGGCCCAAGTCCCTCCGTCAACGAAGGCTGTATCTGACCCGCTTGCAGTTTTGGGAGCACCGCTGGCGAAGACTGTAACCAATAGAGATCAACGCTCGGGCCCGTCAAATGCGGCAGATGCTTTCTTAGCCCAGGTCGAACAGGAGATGCTCAAGCGATAGGCCTAGTCGTCGCGTCGAAGTGAGTTCGTTGCGTCTCACTATATGCATCTCCGATCAAGCACTCAATGCATACTTAGCTTCTCGTACAAGGCGCGTCGGACATATCAAGCTATACCTCCCTCCTGCTTGCACGTACTCGACGTGCTCTTCTCCTCTCTTTGTCGTCCTGCTCTTCACCTCCTCCCGACCCTCGATCACATCCATCATGAATGCTCTCGTCGTCTGCAGGACCTCCAACGCAGGGCCTTCTGCCGTCTTATGCCCGCAGTTCACCTTGGCCTTATCGCTCTTCCCGGACGTCTCAACGAATGTTGTCAGATCGTCGATCGTCTTGAACCATTCGACGATACTACCTTCGTTGGGGAAGATGATCGGCGCCCACTCGTACAGCGTGTCTCCAACGTAGAGCATCGCTTCCTCCTCATCCCACAGCCCAAGCTCGTCGGGGACGTGACCGGGCGTGTGCAGGAGCGTCACTCCCAAAGGCTTCTCGTCGTTGGAGAGTATCTGATCGAGATGAGGTCGGAACGAGGGACGGTAAACAGGTGTGCGGATGCCGAGGTTATCGCAGAGGGAATGCGTGGGGAGCTTGTCTGGCGCGAGGAATAAGGGATCGTTGCCGGACACGAGGACAGGCGAGTCGTGCGCAAACTGCTCCACTCCCACTACCATGCGTGCGCGTGAAACCATCAGCCACCCGACCCAGTTGCTCGTGGTATGGATGACGTACGGATGTGGTCGTAATGGCAGTGGCTCAGTACGACGACGTAGTGCATCCTTCCCCCAGGGTTCAGCGGCTCCCCGCCGTTGTCGTCGATCGGCACGGTCTCGACGAATTCGCGCAGGCTCGTCACTCCGACTTCTGGGTCGTTCGACTTCCCGCCACAGCCGGTGTCGAGGAGCAGGATCGTGTTGGCCGCGGAGACGAGTTTGGCGTAGATGAAGGGGTGCTCATCGTAGACGTCGTCGACCTCGACAATCAGGAATGTGGACGGGGTTAGACGGCGAGCGGAGAACGCTGTAGGCTTGGATTTGAACCTCGTCGGCGGGGATGCTGGCCTTGTGTGGCGTACTGTGTTTGCTGTAACAGATCCTTTGCACATCGCTGTTCTCGGATATCTTCCAAGGCGGGAGGGCGATAAGACAACTTGCGCGTGAGAGTATATCGAGTGCGAATGTACTCTACAGTTGCTCTGTGCCCGCACTCAGACATTCTCGCACATGATGTCTTCCTCTGCACGCACCATCCTAACTAGTTACGTGTAATGTCGATTTACCCGCCCGATACGGGACATATCACTGCGACTTCCTCCCCACCACGAAGAGTCACTTGAGTAGGATCCTCAACCATCTCCGCGTCCACCGCCCACTGGCTCTCCTCCAGCACCGACCCCAGCGATGTATTCGGATGGCGCGATGTGAGCAAGGCGGCCAGCTGTGTCAGCGGAAGGCCTGCGGGCGTGATCGCGTCAACAAGCGTATGTCAATCATGGACATGCACGCAGAATTGTTGAGTGCGCACTAGCTCCTTCGCCGCCCTGGTCCCTCGGCAGCTCGACCTCCTCTGTGGTCAGCCCTGTTGCGGTCGACGCCGCGGCAAAGTAGAGCACGGTTATCGATGGTGTGCGGAGAGCCGCCATGGCGGTGGGAAGTCAAGGTGCATGCTCACGGGATCGTAGGACCGACCTCAGCCTCGGTCGCGGTCGGGTAGCGGGGGCAGGTGTATGCTACATGTATTTCGTACAAGCACAAACATCCGTGCCAACAATCAGTTAATCTCCTGTGCAGTAGTCAAGAGCTACCCGGATAGCATGAGCAATTCGCAACAGATCGTAAATCCAAGGTGTACCGTCGACCCCGCGGTGTAGCATCAAACAGTCCCATCCAAGCCTACACCCATGAAATTGCACCAACCAAAAGCGAGGCAATCCAAGCACCCACTCAAGCAACTAAGGCACGTCCGCGACCGCCAGCAGGACCAGCTCCAGCACACCTGAACCCAAATCCGCCCCCACAGCGCACACAACCGCGCGGACCTCCAATCCGCCCCGGAGAAGACGCGCGCGCCCACTCACCCCTGGTTCCTCCGCCAACTTTGCAAACTCAGCAGCCCCACAACCAACAGTGCCGTTCCCGCGCCGACGAGCCCCGGCAGGTACAGATACCACGTCCGGTCCTCCGCGTTCCCCTCCGCGCCGCCCAGCTCGACCGGGGGCTCCTTGTGCACGCTCTCGACCATCGAGCTCGACAGCTCCTCGTCCGCGTCGTCGCTCGCGTACGCCGGCTCCTTCCGCCGGCGCCGGCGCATGGGCGGCGGGAGCGGGTCGTGCGCGGACGCGGCCTCGCGCGCGACGTCCAGCGTTGGCATCTCCAGCTGCTGCTGGCCCTGCACCCGCTGGCCCTTCCGGCGGACCGTCCGCTGGTTCTGCTGAGGTGGTCGTTGTTGCTGCTGCGAGCGATCGCGCGGCTCACGTGGGCGTATCGCGAGCTCTGTCCCGCTGTCTGCCCCGCTCCCGCTCTCGTTGTCCTCGCTTTCCGTCTCCTCAGCAGGGAGGAGGGGGACGTCGAGCGCGGGGCTGAGCACCCGGGCGCGCACGAAGAACCGCGCGGCCTGCTCGCGGTCGCGGCGCCACGCCTCGGCGCCGTCTGTGCTCGTACCGGTGCCGGGGGGCGGGCCGGACATCGCGAAGGGCGAGCGGAGGGAGGAGAGGCCGGCGTAAGAGGAAGCGAGGAGCGAGGCTGCTGTGCCCTCGAGGTGGAGGAGGCCCGCGGCGAGGAAGAGCTGTGCGAGCCCGGAGGCGCCGCCTAGGCGGGAGATGTAGTACTCGGTGGATCCGCGTGGGGGTGTCGGCACGGAGGGGGCGGGGGTGGAGGCGGTGGTAAGCTGCCCTGCGGAGGGGACCCCTGACGGCGTGGGGGTGGACGGTGTGGGGAGCGTTGTGCCTGTTCCTGTCGCGTGTTCCGCAAGTTCGTCTGGCACGATCGTCGTGAGCGGAAGGTAGTGCGCTGTGAGACGGATGGCTGCTGACGGGAGGCGTGCTTGATGCCATGCCCGGCTACGGGCCCGAGTCGGTGAGTTACGGCGGCTGAGCAGGGACGGGAAGAAGACTCACATGAAGTACTCGAACGCGTCTTCTTTGGCCTTGCGAATGTCGTACAAATCTAGCGCAACTAGAACTAAGCTCGTCGGGTCCATGTTATAGGGCATTTCCGAGGTGATGTCCAGGAGCCAGGGGTATACGCCCGTGGGTGGTGGGGAGATGCTCTCCGGCACGGGTCCAATGATGAGAGATGGCCAGATGACGGAGTCCGCCTTCTCCAAGTGCAATGTCAGGAGCCTCCCGGAACCGGTGTGCAATGACTCGAGCGAAGAGAAGGAGGACGCATGGGGAATGTCTTGCGGGAGCCGTACGAGAGGTGAAGCTGCGAGCGGAGATCTGCGCACGGGGCGAGGCTCTGGAGGGATTCCAAGTCGTTCATCCGCAGACGATGAGATTGGGGAGGACAGAGCAGGAGAGGAGATGACAGTGTCGTCCAGGTCGGATCCCGAGATTAGACCGGCTTCCAAGGATGCCGCGAAGCTGCTGGAGAACTCGGGGTCAGATATGACCGCGTATGACGACTGCGTCGACGTTGTCGATGCCGTGGACGTAGTACGCTCTCGCGGGGAGAGGCGGGAGGGTCGGGGCTCTAATTGCCATACTGAAGCCGCAGTGTCGACCTTGCCGTACAGTTGTCCCTGAAGCGCTGGTCAGTCAAGAGCCCTTGACGTACCCGGTCTCTATGCAACGTGCCTTCACTACTGGAGGTTGACCCCGAACTCCAGCGACAAGGTGATTCTCCTCGATGATGACCTGCACGAATTTGGCCGAAGTTACAGCTACTGCTGCGGGACGGGGAGAGCGAGACTCACGGATACTTCTTCCTCGACCGTGTCATACGGCAAGAGAACGAGGACAGTAGCCTACATCAGGTTAAGCACTCTGACTTCCTTCAAGATGCGCCGTGAGCCACGAACCTGGTCGTGAGACTAACAATAACAAGGCGGGGAGCCGCGTCAGGCTTGACACTGGCACGATGGGAGCTTGGACGCACCTGGTGCCATGAATATGATTGATAGTGATCGTGTAACCTATCCATGCTCGTCGGAGGCGTCTGGAGAGATAACAGGAGGATGATGGAGGATATGAGGAGAGTTGAAGGAGGACATTCGGATCGGAGTGCCCCGACGGTTGTCTTGCCGCGGGACACGAGTGCTCTCCCAGTCGGTACGGGCACGTGTCCGCGCTTGCCCAATTGCCGAAGCGATCGGTAACAGGCGCTGGATAGGCGCTGGCCACAGCCGCGTGCAGATCCTGATTCGGATTCCTGTCGCAGCAGCAGACTCGACTCTGCTCTCGCCTCATGGCCTCCGTCGCCCCTTCCGCCGTTTACTCCGTTACCCCCTGGGAGATCTCCTTCCTCGACCCCCTCAGGCAGTCTCGCAACGCCCTCATCATCCTCAACCAGCCCTTCTCCTTCCCCCTCCTCCGACGCCTCTGGTACTCCTCCGCCTGGCACGCCTGCGCAGACGGTGGCGCGAACCGCCTCCACGACCTTCTCAAGGACCACGACGGCAAAGACATCAGGCACCTGTGAGTCGTGCCCCAACGCCTATGTACGTAACCTCGCTTCCCATCATCCTGACCGCTACCCGACCCGCCACGCGCCAGATACACGCCTGATCTAATCAAGGGCGACCTCGACTCCCTCCGCGTAGACGTCCAATTGTACTACGCCTCGCGAGGAGTCCGCATCGTGCGCGATGAGGACCAATACGCGACCGACCTCATGAAATGCATCGCCTCGCTCGTCGACGACGAAAAGGCCGAGCGGCACGTCGAGGTACGCTCCTTGATTGGCTCGCCCCCTGCTGTGTCGGCACACGACCTCATGTCATGTCTCGTATCGACGTCTGCAGCAACACACGATTGTCATTCTCGGCGGCTTGTCAGGCCGGCTTGACCAAACCGTGCACACGCTCTCGCTCCTGCACAAACTCCGGCGGAGTCGGCAGCGCGTCTTCGTGATCACGGACGACAGTGTGGCATGGCTCCTCGACGCAGTGAGTTTTTGGTTTTTTCAACACACTACCTCAGCGGCGTTGCTCATATTGTCAATTTTCAGGGTGAACACCGCATAGCGGTTGATCATACTGCTTTCGGTCCCACTTGCGGCCTCCTACCACTGGGCGTCGACTCGACCGTCCTAACGACGACAGGACTCAAATGGAATTTGAGTGAGTGTATGTGCGTTGTCTTGATCACTACAGTTCCTTATGCCCTGTATGAATAGCTGACCAAATATCGTCGTTTGACGGATTGATATCCACCTCGAATCACCTCCTTCCGGAGGAACCCGTCGTGACTGTGAAGACGACCAAACCCCTCTGGTGGACCATGGAGCTGCGGCCACTGGCTTGAAACCCCTCACGCATTGAATCTTTCACGTGCGTCGCCGTTTGATATGTATGGATCATCTACGCGTGATACAGGGGTGTTTGTGAAATGTTGTATCATAATCAACAGGGTTCGGAACGCATTCCGTTGAGGAGTATACGTCTCTCCAAGGCACAGGTACTAGGTGCGGTTGCTCAGTTTGGTCCAGGATGGAAGTCAGTATATGCGCCTGCATCCCGACCTATCCTGTGCGCGTACCAGAAGGGGTCGAGTACCGACGCGCGTACAAGAGCTAATGGCCGTGCTCAGCCGTTGACCGTAGTACTCTCATATGTGCGATTGTCCGAGGGCGGCGACTTCACGAATGAAAGACGCATGCATGTCTCCGGGCTCAATTGGACAGCCCAGCCTCGTGTCGAATTGCCAAGGATGGCCTGGACTGCATCTAACGGCCACGTTCGGAATGCACGGTGGTCATTGCAGCGAGGGTATCAGGGTGAAAGGCCACGTCGTAAGGTTCGCTCGCATACCACTCATGCTTGCCTAGCTTGTATTGCATCGGGCCAGACGTTGACTGCATATGAGTCCTGGCGGAATACCGAGGCTTTGACGATACCGCGGCAAATGGACCTCTTCAGCTGAATACGCCCCGGCCCTCGCACTCGGAATTCGGGATCCCGGCCTTGTGCCGCCTAGAAAGTGACAAGACGTTTGCCCACGATGGAGCCTATATGGTTCCTTCCGCCTAAACGCGGTCAACGGTCGCAAAATGGGGTAGGCGAAATGTCTCCTTCCCTGGCTGTGATGAGGACGCCGGTCAGTCTAGTGGCGCAGCGGAAGTCTCAGACGAGAGACCGCGTGCCGCCACCATCGCCGAATGTCAACAGCCATGCGAAGTGCGCGAAGTTGTAGATGAATACGATCTCAAGCGGATCATTTGCAAGGACTCTTGAGTCGTCCCGCTTCCCTGTAGCCGCTCGTCTGAGCACGTATGAGAAGGACTGGGGAAGGGAGAAGGAGTGCGGAGACTGGATGACGGGCATGGGTGATGTGCGGTTAGCGGGTTGGGTGCTCTCGAGGGGCTTGCTTGGAGAGGTTGGCGAAGACAGGACGTGGTGTGCATTGGAGGCAGACCGGCGGTTCCTCTCGAGAGGGGAAAGGGTGCGACCAAGCCATAGTGGATAGTGGCGGAGGGCAGCCAGGATTGTGGCGGAGGCGTGTATTGTGACGGTGGGCTATGACTGCAGCGGGAGCGGGAGCATGGAGAGGATGATGGCCGATGTAAACGGAGAGACGGTCACGACGGTCGTTTTCCGACGACACTAGGGCTGGACGTGGTGGGGGCTGCAGCGCTGAAGCTTAAGGGTGGGATGATGCGAGGCAAGGGATCGGTAGCGGCGGAATAGGTTGTGACGGGAGCAGCGGATTCTCCTGCGTCTGATACGCCGTCTAGTCTTGTCATTTCAAGAGTTACTTTCAAACCAACAAGCTGCCGGCTTGGGGACAGCGAGCCGGACAAAGGGTGCCAGACAGAGGAACGGACGCCGGGGTGACGATCTCCTGGTAGGTAAGGTGGGCGCGTACTCGATTTTGTGCGGATTCAAGACTTGGTATACCCCTGCAGCCGAGCTCATTCTGAGCTGGTGTGAAGGGAAATATGAGCCTCAGAAATACCGGGGTAAAGATCAAGTACCACGAGCAGTTCAAAATTCCGTCCCCGTCAGACATTTTGTTGCCATATACATAGGTCGAACAGAGGTTCCTCTGATGCCAACACTTAAGCTGAATAGCTCATTCGTATTTGCCTGTCGATGTTGCTGGTCATCCTCGATGAACTTATTTCGTTGGACAATGGCGAGTACGTGCTGATCGGCCGATGTGCCTGCCGCGACTGAGCTCACTCTGTACAGCGAACCTGATGCATCCCATTCTGAACCACGACATCCTGGTCATCCTGGAGACGTGTTCGACCCATCTCCGTGTTACGTTTGATATTCAAGGTTTGGAATACATTGCCTCCATCCCAAAGCTCCCTACTTCAGGCGTGTTGTCTGATTTAGAGTTGCGCTCGAACGTGTTTGGTGCGCTCCCCGATTTTGACATCTTTGTGAGTACACTGCCCAATCCAGTGACCTCCATGGATTCGTTTGGGCTCAGCCATTGATTAGGGCAAGTTGACGAAGTGGCCTTCAGCCTTATTCATTCGGTCGCTCTCGTTAAGATTTTTTGCACTCCTCAGGCTTCACATGGGCACAACAGAGGCGCGTGTCTGATGCGAAACGCTCTGCTGGAAGGCGACGTCCCAATGTATACACGGGCAGTCGCGGACGCATCCCTCGCGTCACTGCGGCGACTAGCAGTTGCATGACCTTGTGAACCACCCTTTGTCCCCGTCACCTTCGCTATCGATCGAGACCCGGGAGAACCACCCCGACGTCGTTTTCATAAATGACTGTTTGGCAAGAGATATCATGCATATTGATGCATCCACGCATACGTATACGCCTGGCTGTTACCACTGCAACATATGTTGATGCTGAAGGCATGCTCGCGTGTATGTAGTGACCAGTGCCGGTCTGGGTTTCTCCTCGGGAATATTTTGCAATCGCGCACGCGAGTTGGTGTACGGGTTCCAATGTACGGACGCATGGTTTCATGATCAATGCAACACTGATGCCATGCAGGCGTCATGGTGAAGTAGAATAACCGCGAACGCTAAGAATGTAAATGCGTGACATTCCTGCCAGTGGATCTGAACGCAAGAGATGCTGCTAAGACGTGATGAGACCATGCACGCATGGACGCAAATAACGAAAGAGATGTGCGTCAAAAACATGTACAAATGCAATGACCGTTGCCATGAACAACGCCAGTTGGTATACACTATATGGGGTGGATGAATCTCCGAGACTAGAAAGTAAGTAGCAGAAGTACCGTACGGATATGTACCAGGTGAGCACCAGACGTAGTTAGATAGGGAACGGGAGGTATTAAGGAGAGAGGATATGCAAGAAGGAACGTGTGGGGCCGTCCTTACTAGAAGGGCGGTGTAAATAGTGGCAGCACTGCAGCTATCGAGACATGAGTTGGCCTAAGGTGAGCAGGCTTCAGGCTCATTATAGACAACAATCGCCTACCAGAAATCCGTACCGTACATGAGCCTTGATGATATATGAGGATGATGGATGTGAGATCGACAACAACACAAGCAAGCGCCGATAGCGGAAGAGCAAAGGAGCAAGGGAGCAAAGTCTACTCAGTCGCCACTCCAGATCTGCCCCTAGGGTAGCTGTAACGATGGACGCGTCTGTACAGGCGAACTCGTCGCCGACGGGGAGAGGTAGTCGCTCGTGATGCGCTTCATCCGGTCGCGCTCAGCCGCGAGATGCTGTGTGAGCATACCGTCGAACCGCAATATCGACTCGCGCTGGGGTTTGCGCTCCCCAGCCCTGCTCTTGCCCTTATCATCCGGTGCCGTGGCCGGCCGCTTTCGTCCTGAGCCCACGCTCTCCGTGCTCCGAGCGATGCTGATAGCAGCCGCACTGCTCGTAGAGCTCACGCTCGCGCGCCCGACCGAGGTACCGGGGGCAATCGGGGAGCTGGGCAAAGCCCCGATGGGGAGGAGAGGCGACGTCGGTACGTGCGCAATGCCCTTGCCCTTCTTGGAGAAAGGCGAGCGAGACGACGTGGACGAGCGCCGATTGAAATCGACGACGTTCGATATCGGCTTCTTGCGGTCGTACGTGAACTGGGGGAGAGGTTCTTGCAGGGAGCGACTGGAAGCAGGAGAGAGCTGGGGCGTGGAGTGGTTCCCGAGGCGCATGATGGAAGGTCGCGCGCTTGAGCTCGACGCGCGGTTCGAGATGGCTTGGGTACGAGGCTCGACGAATACCTCCGCTGTCTCAACATTCTCGCCGCCAGGCGTAGGTGGTTGAGTCCGCAATGTTGTAGGCGTCTCGCCAGGGGGCCCGGGATTGAACCGACTGCGCGCATTTCCTGCGCCATTCAATGATAGCTCATCTTCCGACTCGCTCTCGTCCGAGGTATCGAGATCATCCATGGCATTGTGGAAGGTGGTTTGGATCTGATCGAAGAAGTCCGCAGGCGACGCCGGCGCTGGTGCCGAGTGGATGATGGGGCGTTGCATTCCGCGCGGAATGGTCAAAGTGAGTGGGCCGCCAAGCCCACGACGCGCTGCGAGCGGGGCGGACGGAGAGGATGCAGTGGAGGCGGAAGAATACGTCAAGTTGATGGATGCCTCTTGGGTGGGGCCGAGCTCGGACACGGCAGGGGAATCTGGTGGTGGTCGGCTGCGGCTATTCGATGTCCGTGAATTGGTTGTGGACGTAGATGGTCGATAAGTAGGACGAGCCGCACGCGGGCGGGGAGGTATGGGTAACTCAGTGGGGGAGACGGAGGAGGATATGCGCGGGGGAGGTGAGGTCACAGAGCGAGGTGTGATGGGAGGATGTGGTGGAAATTCTGGGAGCGAGTGCGTCGAAGGTGCAACATGTGATGCGATGCTTCTCCGAGACATGACCGAGGGTGGCCGACAGCTTCCAAACACCGCATCACCGAAGGCAGATGCAGTGGGAGAGGGCATGGAGTACTCAGAGATAGACACAGATATTGAAGGTCGGCCGGACGGGAGTGACAGTGTCATGGAAGGTCGAGCGCCACTGTGTTCTACATCCGTGTCCATGGGTGTCCTGAACGATATTTCATCGCTTGAATACCGTGACTCGCTCTCAGAGCGCGACCGCGTCGCCGTTGTGAATGAAGGCATGCATTCTAGTTCTCTGAGCTCTGGGGAGATACCGCGGACGGGAAGAGGAGGAGGAGAAAGCGAGACGGTCGGCTGCTCAGCAACATGGTCCTCTGCGCCAGATAATCCAGGAGTGGAAGTCGCTTTGCGCACAGTATGATACGATGCCGAAGACGAGCCAGGAGCAGCATCACCAACCTTGGCGACTGGTTCCGAGAGGTCCGGTTGTGAGAGTGAGTATAGAGGGTTGAACAGCTGTTTGCGAGGAGCAGGTGCGAGAGGCAGAGGCATGTGGGCCGGTGTCTCTGCGCGAGCCGGGGGACCTGCGATCGATAACAACGGATGTTCCGCTGCCAGCGGTGACTTCTCGCCCGAGGACAGCGGCATACCCTGGAATGGCGGCTGTTGCACGACTGAAGGCGACACGGGCGGACTGTTAGAAAACGACTCCGAATGAATGCTCAAGTTTTCCACGATCCGTTGTCCGACCTTTGCTTTCTGTACTGCCGGCATTGCCGGAGTCCGGAAGGATGCCTCTGATTGAGGCGGTGGTGACGCTAGTGGCAAACCCGCTCTGCTCGAGACTGACGAAGAGAAAGAATGGTCAGGCGTGTCCGCGAGCGAATGGCTGACGGCCTGATGCAACAAGTCTTTCCGCCAGCTCTCCTCCTCTGAACTGATAGACCATATCCCTGGCGATCCGGGCACGAGACGATCAGCGAGCACGGCGGCATTGAGGGAGGCCTGTGGGCCCAAACCGTAAGCTGCAGATGCCTGTACAGCGAACATCGAATCCACCAGCTGCGGCGGCAAGTCGACAGCGTCTGTGGGATCAATGATGTCGTCCACAAATCGGTCCCGAGGTGTCGTTTGTGTCTTGGTCTTCCGAGTGTCCCTGCTACGAAGCTCCTTCTCAGCCTGTTCAGCAGCGGTCGCGAGGTCATCCATGCGTTCACGCAAGACAACTACCCTACTCGCGGGCGGGGGAGGTTGGACCACGGGCGGGGGAGCCAAGGGCTGCTGCTGTGCACGGAGTAGGAAACCTGACGCAGTAGGTGTGTCAGAAGTCGTGCGGAGAATGGGACCCGCACTGTCAACCGCAGGAGGACTGCCAGGGACGGGAGACGTCGGCTTCGACTTCGACTTCCCTAGCCGGAAAAAGTCTAAGAACCCAGCGTTGGCAGGCTTGGCCTTTTTCGCGGCCTCCGCGGACAGCGGTGACAGCGAGAATGGACTAGGTTTGGTATGAGCCGGTGGGAGGAAGTAGCTGTTGTTCAGGAGCAAACGAAGTCGATACGAGACATCGTCGGGGTCAAATTCTGAATGGTCCTGAGTGACGATTTCTGGATATGACAGGTCTCCCTCGTCGTAGGTGTAGGGCATTGACGACTCTGTTCGAGTACCAACGGACGTCGACGCGGGATACAATGACGACGATGTCGTCGAGTTCTGCGTCAGGATAGAGTCGCGAGGATTAGAAGAGCGGGACACGATGTGAACTGCAGCGCCATCTCCAAAACCGAACGGCGTGAGCGGACTCGCTTGCGACGACTCGTCCGAAGGAGAGTGCTGTCGGAGATTTTGGCGGGGCAGACTGAGACCGCGAAGCTTCGCCTTCGTCTAGACCGTCAGGACAGCGTGACTCAGAGAGTGAGAGGCACATACAGCTTTGATAGACCCAGTATCCGACTTCGCCTGCCTGCCCCGGATCTGCTCGAACGGGACCTCCCGAACGTCTACGGCACTGCGGGCTCGAGACATCTGAGGCATATCCAGACGGACCCCAGGTTCGGGACGTGACTCTGGCCCTACTGTCCTCGACCTTCGCCTCGCCTGCTTGACCCGCCGCTTCTCCTCCGCCGTCATCTCCTCGGGCTCGTCGCAGACTACCGTCGGCACTGGCGGTACATCATCGAGGTCCAAGAAGCTCTCGCAAGAGTCTGATTCGTACTTGCTCCCCACCGATTGGCCCTGGCTTCTGCCGCGTTTTGAGGGAGCGAGTGAGCGCGTTCTTGTACGCGATCGTCGCCTGAGACCGGCACTCTGGACCGAGCTAGCGATAGAATCTGAGCGAGTGAAGGGGTCGAAACTGGGAACAGGGGGCTTGGCCGTCGAGGTCGAGGGGACCATGGGACGCTCAACGTTGCATGGGACAACGATAAGAGACAGCGTGGACGAGCGCGGCGTGCGACTCGTCGTTGAGGACGAAAACCCGCGCTTCCTCTCCCTCGCTTCCACTGGGGACCCCGGACGGACGGCTCCTTTCCTGGACCCCCGCTCAGCGCCTGACGATTCAGGACATGTTCCGCCTCGAAATCATCGCACTGCGACACTGATGCGGCGGTCGAGAAAGCATGTCCACACCAGTTATGTCTCGACCTCAACTCAGCAGCATGCACGTCTGCAATGTACACCCCATGTGTATGATTGAACCCCTCATGTACCATCCGCTTCTCGCCTTCAGTCTCGTAATTTATACTTAGGTCGCAAGGGCGGGCGCGGGACCCCGGTAACCCTGTTGCACCGTAATATTGTTGATGGCGGCGCTCAGCGTCCATGGCAAGGACCGTCGGTGGTGTTCTTGGCGAAATGCTGCCTATCTGCCATCTGCCAGAGGTATGTATGACCACCCCGCAAAGGCTACACCTCAGTGGGATGCCCTCAGCCAATATGCATGACTCCAGCGTGTGAAGGATCAGATTTTTGTCTGCACTACCCAAATGAGGTATATTGTAAGTATCTTAGAGTTCAGGTCCGTCTGCCTTGAAGCGCGCGTGCGACACCTTACAGTTAAGCGCCATGTACATGCGGATAGCTTGCCCTTCGACTTGCATCTTGGCCAGGCAAGTTTCGATTCCTCGCTGACGATGCCTATCTTCGACGCCGTTTCTCCATGTGAGCGTGGCCGTGATTATCCCGAGAACCTTCTTCAAGCCTGACGTATGCGTAGACCTTCCGCAGGGACCTGGATGGTTGCCGACGTGGCAATTGATTGTGGCCGTGACTGCAGCATTGAACACAGTGAGCAATCTCACTAGCTTGACGTTCTCGCGGAGGCTTTACAACAACGCTGTGACTTCCGGTGTGTGTCTGTGGTAGTACCATTGATAGTAGCTATGGCAAATAACCAAATGTCCTATGATCAGTTAACCCCCTCCAAGCCCGGACATTCGCTATCTGGACCCTTACGTCAGCGGTTGTCCGCTTCTATGCGGCCTATAATATTCACAACAAGTTGTAAGTCCCTAGTTGTTGTTCAACGAAGAACAGTATGTCTATCTCTCTATCCTGCAGAATTTACGACATAGCCCTCTTCACGTACCTCTTCGCGTTCTTCCACTTTGGCTCCGAAATCCTTATCTATCGTACCGCAAAAATAGCTGCCCCAGTACTCAGTCCAGTGATCGTCTCGAGTGAGTCGTGTCGGTCCCACGTGAGATCATCCATGCCTGAAGCTCACCATACACTTCAGCTTCGTCGTTGATCTGGATGCTCACCCAGTACAACTTCTACGTGAAAGCCTGAGCGGGGCTGTCCGACAGTTTCCTCACTCCATTGTTCGGTGGTCTCTCACGTGTGTGATAACCGGTGCTTCTCCTGCTGTATGTCCGCTGTCGTTGACTTTACCTGTGATGCTACCATGCTTGATCTTACTCAGCTCTCTCTCCGACTGGTCGTCCGTCGGTTCGTGTACCGCATGCATCTTGCTGTCAACGAGCCGTGGCTATTCACGTCGTCCTCACCTGTTTTCAATACCTTTTCAACTTCGTGCAGCCGCATGCGAGGCACGTCATCGAACCTCGTGCACTGGCAGAGTGGGCCTGGTTCATCGTTGTCGGTACGTTGTCCCGAATGAAGGCGCAACCTGTACTGCGTCTATCGCAAACTGCGGTAGATCCATACGTACACCCTCCGCGTCTTCTCACGTCCGACAACCTCTCATCATTGTTGCTGGCCACCAGTCATCTGTGCCAGGAATAAGTCGTGAATACTGCTTAAGTACGATCGGCCTGCAAATGCCTCCCAGGAAGGTACCTCTGTAAGCCCGTATTCTCCCGCAAAATGGCATGTAGGTTTGGTTTCCTGGTGGCCCTGGCCCAAATGTCCTATACACCTGCAGACCAGGTTAGCTGTAAAACCGGCGCCCTATCTTCTCAGACGCGTCGTGCGCGACCTCATACGCCGGAAAGTCAGCGCCGTCTGTCGCACATGCGTTCAGTGCCAGGGGAGTGGGGGAACGGTGCGTAAGAATAACGACACATAATTACGACACTCGCAGACCCCGTCGACGTTCCTCCGTTCTCGTCTGAGCTTCTCGCTCTCGATCCGCCTTCGGCAATCGGCATCTCAGTGGTGCTTGAATCCACGCCATCCATTGCGACATTTCGCCTATGCATCTTCTCGGAGATCGACATACGCACATGCGACCACGTATACACGCACAGAAGCGTGTCTGTGCTCGGCTCGAGTACCAGCTGCTCGTCGCAATATAGCGGCGGCTCATGAGGGAGGGAACGCGTCCGACGGGGAGGCCTTGTTCGCATGGATCGGAGGCAGCGCCCCGTGGTCAGCAGACATGTCCTCCATCGCAACCCCTTGTCAGGTGTTGCATCCTTTGACGAGGACGGATCTCGCTCTGCACGTTCCTGAGGACGCGTGTGCGGTGCTTCAGCGTCTGCTAAAAGAGTTGAACGCACCAATCGGATCGACGACGGGGTCGGGCTGGACAGCTGAGCTTCCAGGAGCATCGCGATTCGCAGGAATGTTTGAACGGTGATGGTGACCAGAACGCGCGGCTAAAGGAGATTCGCCCGTGTCTAAGGCAGCGAACGTCTACCTAGTCTATTCTGAAAATGTCTCTAATCATCAAACTTGCCGGGAAGATGCTACGGGTGTCACAGTATCCCGATTGTCTGCAGGAGCCTTCACTGCATACTGGTCGGACATCGAGGGTATACGATAACCACTTTGCTCACGAGGCCGGCATCCCTCCTCTTCTCCTCTTTCATTGCTACGCTTCCAGACTTTGCCGGTTGTGCGAGGGCCCGAGGAGATGCTGAGAGGGCCACTCATGGAGGATCATACCAGGGAGTATATTTGGCCCTCTGTGAGCCGTTCACATCTGTTCGGATGCTCCGCCGAGGTCTGGGTTCTCCCTGTGACGGCAGGCCACTGTGAATAGACCCGCTATACAAGTTCCCTGCAATAATGGCAGTTTCAACGCCAGATTTAGCCGCGGAAGGCCCCATCTGTGATTGCCCATGCCAGAAGTGGAGAACCTAAGAATGGGTGAATGTTGTGAGCAGCGATACGACGCCTGGCTGGTAGAAGCGAGGAAGATCGTCTCGCATAGGCATTTGAACCTGGATAGATGAGAGAATTTGGGAAGAAGTCGTAACGAAACAGTATCAACTACCGAGGCTTCCCAGGTCGAGTCGCCCGTAAGGTGTGCTTCCGGTTGAGCACGAAACATCACGCCGTCTATTCCAGTCTTCACGTCAGCCAAAGTTAGGGCCATTCAATCTACAATGCAAGCTGCTAGGAATACTCACCCTTGTCTCATGCCTTGACCACATGCCCCCTCCGCATGGGAGGGTTTCTTGCCGCAGTTGCTAGCACTTGCATGGCCCCATTTTTCTTGGCGGATAGGGAGGTCCAGACTTGGATTAAGGCCTTGGCCTCACTGCCCAAAACCACCACCGTGTCCCATGATGATGCAAGAGCGCATCAACGTTTCAACTCTGGTGCAACCGCGCGTGCGCCTTGTTCTTGTCTGACGCTTATAGGAGCCGGTGAAGACGTCGGGTGTACGTACAGCATCACACGGACACCGTTCAGGGGACTCATGAACGTTCGTGACAGGTCAGGCTAGCGTCGCTCTGCAGGCATACACTTGCGTCCACATAGGCGGCTGGCGGAGCTGAGCTGGCATCAGGGAGAATTCCGCAAATTTCGAGTAAGCACGTTTCCGTCTAACTGTACATATATACCGACTTACATGGAGGTGGAGATGGGATATGCCGGACAAGCCCCGGAGGCGGACCTAGTCTTTTGATCCGTCACGTGTACGGGGGTATTACGACTGAAATAGGTCAGAGTTCGGTCAGGTTCGGTCGCGCAAGACACCCAAAAGCTTAATTCATGCAGCGGAATTGTTTGCCGAAAGCAAGAAGTGCAAGCGTGCGAACGGGAAGGTGCTCGACGGCTCGACGGAAACGACAACCGGAAGGGTGCAAGCGCCTGCCATGAGCCACTCCTGCGCGCGTGGGTGATCGTTCTGGGCGATGTCGCCAACTCTATGTCGGGTCACGACCTCCGTTTATTCTCTCCCAAATGACTCGGCATATAAGGCCGCAGATTTTCCCGTTTCTGCCCTGTTCCTTCTCTCCTATCCGCCGACGACCCCATTTCGCCGCGCTCTAACTGACTGGAGCTATCCAAGCACTTCCGCTTATACCTCTCTTCTACTATGTCTACAGGACCTTCCCTTGTCGAGCAATTTCCACCAGAGCTGCTAACCGTAATATGTGCTCACATCTACGCATCCGGTCTGCCACCCCTGGTGACCTCTCTTGATCCTCCTCTGTGCTCCGAACATCCCAGCCTACCGACCGCTCTGCCTTCCTCATACCCTTGTGCCTATTGGCCCGAAGCTGTGGTTCGCAAAACCCTCGCTAGCATATGCTCGACGAACAGAGCCTGGTACGAAGCCGCCAAGCCGTGGCTATGGCGCAAGGTAGAGATCCGCCTCCCTCGTTCATGGTTGTCGATCGTGGAGGAGGTAGCGGGTGGTGACGACGAAGAGGCCAGCGAAGAGCAAGCCGCACTCATGGTCGGCCGAACGCTCAAGAACGCGGAGACTGCGGCCCTAGCTGCCCGCACGCTGCTCGGCGAGAGTGGCGGTACCGACGAGGCAGCGTCGGACCTTCACGACAAGGTCCTCGAGCGACTGTCCGGCCCCGATATCTCCATACCCCCGGAGCTGCTCACACCGCCCGCGAGCCGAGAACCCAGTCCACGACGCCTCCGGACGAAGAGCAGGTCGCCCGCGCGGTGGAAACTCATGCGCTCCATAAGCGTGGCCGTCCAGGATGTCATGGAGCGCGCTCACCCCGGCATGTACGGTACGCCCGCGACATGTTTCTGCCCGACGTCTGTGTACGTTATACTGACCATCTGCTACCGGCCCTCAGTTCCGCAACCGCAAGATCCGCACCCGGGGCGCCTGGTTTGGCACCTAGATTTCAACCACTTCCGGACCATCGGAATGAGGCGTTCAGTCGAGGAGGGTGTCAATAACCGGTTCGTCACCGGTGACAGGCTTGTAGCCGTCCTAAAGGTCAGTAGTCTATTGTCGTCCGGCGGACTGAACTGACTGACGAACGTGCTCTAGGAGCTGCCTAACTTACGTGCCTTTGGCGCTACGGAGTACATGGATGGCGCGCTCACGTTCCCTGTGCTGAAGGAACTTCTCCTGCGCGGGTCCGCGTCTCGCGGACGCGGCCGTCCTTCGCGAGGACGCGACGTCGTGGTCCCGGATCCGAACGACCCCGAGCAAGAAGACCTTGATCGCCGGCGCGAATGCAAAGATCTCGAAGCCATCGACTTGACGGGTTGTGTCAGCGGCGTGTTTGTTAGCGCTCTGACGCAATTTGTCGACAGCTTCCTCCTTGGCACTTCCGAAGACGACATCGAGGACGAACTCGAACGACGGCGCACACGCTCCAGGAAACTTGTCCAAGAGGAGTCCTTGATTTTCCCTGGGTTACGCCGTCTAGGCTTGCGTGGAGTGAAGTCCCTCCAGCCGCGCATCCTTGAGCCCCTCGTACAGGCGTTCCCTCACCTCACCCACCTCGATCTCTCGTGCACGCGCATCTCGCCTGAGGGTCTGGCAGCCCTAGGTCGGTCTTCGACCGTCAGACTGCAGTCGCTCGCCCTCGAGCGCTGCAACTGGCTCACTGGGGAGAGCATCCGGAACTTCCTTGTGGAGGCGCCTGCCGCTCAGGATCTCCGCGAACTTTCGCTCTACGGCGACTGGACGTTCCCATCCCCTCTCTCGGAGGAGGATGTGCGCGACATCTTTGAGTATGCCCCTTGTTTCAAGAGTGGACAGCTCGTCTATCTTGACCTATCGAGCACGCCACTCACGCGTGAGCTGCTCCTCGACGTCTGCCCACCCCAGCCGCGCTTGCGTTCCCTCGGTCTATCTCACATCCGGAATCTCGAACTGCACGTTATTGTGCAATTCCTCACCACAAAGGCGAGCAACGTCGAGGTCCTGACGCTCGTCACGTCCACCCCGGAGCTCGGATACGGCGGTCCGGTCGTGTCGGCGCGCCAGGCCACGATCGCGCTTCATGCACAGCTCGTGCGCCCTCTGTGTACGCCTCCGTTCTCCTTCAGCTTGACGTCGACGCCGAAGGTGGAGGAGCCGCCGACGCGCTTGCGTGTCATCGAGCTCGCACCGCCCTTGCTCACCGGTCTGGGCGCCGGCGCTGGAACGTGGCGCATCATCCGGAGCAAGGGCGGCCGTGGATGGTACGTCGACACTGCTAGCGGCTGGGTCGCGGAGCCGTCGTCCGGCGACCAGTCGCGACAGGGCCCCGTCCTGCGGAGGGATCTCGAGCCGAATCACCCGTGGAGAGTTGGGCTCGAGGCGCTCGCAGATGCGAACGGTAACGTGAGCACTGGCGTCGGGTGGCACGCGCGCAAGATGGAGGTGAGCTTGGTCGATGTTCCTGTGGTCTGAGTGGGTGCTCATGAGAAATCGATGTCATTAGGTCCTCCTTGGGGATGGGCTCCTTGGCCGCGAGGCGGGTTTGTACGGCGCTGTCTCCTTCGCATACCAAGGATAGGCACAGGATGCGGCTCTCCTTGTTCCACGCACCTTGTTCCTCATCCATGCCCATAGTTCGCGCTCTGGTGTGCTAATCGCCTTTGGAAGTTTCTTCGATGTCGACACTCGTAATCCCCTGCTTTCCTACTCGTCCCGCTGTATATCACATCTATCACTCTGCTCCTTGGTCGCCCGGTCGCATGGGCAGCCCAAAAACATTAACACATCTAATACAATCAAAACAGAATTCACCTTGTCTGGAATGGAACGCTTGCATCACATTTGTACAGTACTAGCATCATGTCGAAGATTTCCTCGCAATGAACGGCTCTTCTACGTTCTCATACAGTACAGCTATAGCACTGGCAGTCCCTACTAATTGCTATGATCCTTCGCTTACCATCTCCATCGCACACGTCTACAAATGTGTTCCTCGCATCTACTCTGTTGGCGAATGACTCACCTTCGGTGATTGTTGAGAACCGTCGAACTCGGAATCCGCCAGCACTGGTGAGAGGCAGGGCGCTATGGAAGAAGCAATGTGACGAAGCAGGTGACTTTATTGTGATGCTGCATCGCGAGTCTTCTCGAAGACAAGGACGTCGACCTATACAGCCTACAGCTTTAGAAGATGAAGCACACCAGGCATCGCGCTGGTACTTCAACAAGAAGACTACTAGACCGACGGTATGTGCCGACTCAGGGGACCCCATGCACCTCGCAGACACGAATGGCACCATAAGCGCCTGCCGATGGAATCAAACACTTCCTTGGTCCACCACGCCTCAACATTCCTGAGCCGCAAGGCATCCAACTTACCTTATTGAGACCCGATGATCTGCGTACCTGGGGCTGCCGCCCAGGTGGTTTGCTAGGTGTTGATGTGGTTTGGAAGCCGGCCGCCGGGACCGCTCTAATTCCGCGTTCACGAACTTGAATTCCAGATAACGACCACATCTCTGAGTTGACATCTCGCAGTAAGTAGTTCGCATGTTAAGAAAAGGAGCGACTCATAGTGCGGGTGTCATTTTTGATCGAGCTGGAAGGATCAAGGTCAATACTAAACCTCAACAGTTCTACAACAGAAAGCTGCTTCGAACGCGCCCGAGCCCAAACAGCAGCCTGGACTCGCTTGGGAACTTTCCGAATCCCAAGCGACCCAGATGGTCGCATCCAATTACCCACTACGGGCCTTACGCAGTACGAACATGATATAAGACAGTGAGGAAGTCGACCGAGCGCGCATGGCGATGCTACTGTTTCTATACATCTCTGAAGAATACAGCAAAGGCCTTCCGGGTATTCATGATGCGCTGTCCCGCCAGGACTAGAGTCTACAGGTCCGATAGGTGTATTAGCCTCTGCCTTAACTACACAGCATCGCTATCGTACCTGGAGCTGTCTACCGCGAGCTGCCGGTAGCCGTGGGTGAGAACGTCGATCCGCCACGCGTCATGCATAGAGTCCGAGTCGATGCATGACGCGTGGCGGTTCAGCTTTTCATGTGTCGTCGAACCTCGACATACTATCGAGGCTGCTCCACAAAGCCATAGTGACATCGTCTTGCTCCGCATGTCGTCGTCGATTGTCTTGGTCTACGCACAGTCAACCGGGGTCCCACTTGAATCACCGAGCGCCCGGATGCATCAATGCAGCGCTATTTGGCGACAGCCATATACATAGCACGAAAACATGCCCTGGACTGTTGCTGGGATGCTCGGGATAACATGGACTGCTGTGGTCAACGGGTCGCGGCGCCTTGTTATGCATAGCTGAGTCGTTATCGCAATTTGCCTTAGTTGGGTAGGTGGTGTCGACGAGGACCGGATGAAGACTCGCTTTAGACGTTGTCGGTCCGCACGCGGCGTCCGGGTACGTATGAACGGCTGTGCCCCTATCGTGGGTGCCCACGAGTCCGTCAGGGTTGGACGTGCTGGGGACGACACATCAGACGTGTTACGCTGCCACCGCTAGAAATTGCGCGTGCTTTCGACTGCGGATTATGTCCTGAATGCTGTAGGACAAGCATGCGATCGGCGGCGAAGTAAGCGTAGAGGTAAGTCGTGCCAATCGATGTCAGCCGACATACGGCAACTGGCCTAACCGCTGACAGCTGACGGCTACGCGTGAGTGTCGGCCTATGCACAGGTACTTACTTAGCGCAGTACGAAGGTAGTGATAAAGAGCGTCGGATCGAAGCACAGCCTACACTGCGGCGGCGGCGGGCGGTCGGGTAGTCTTCGATTGTGAGCCGATATCGTGGAAATAGACAGCGGTGAGACGGGGTCAAGCTGAGGCCCGAGGTCCAGGCGCGGGGGAGGCAGACGTTTGCGCATTGAGCGGGCACTATGCTGTATTCATCAATGCACTGCCCTCGGGAAACACAACCAATTGTTTATATGGGGACCCCAGAAGAATTAATGGTACCGTGCGAAGCTTGGTGCAACGTTGAGCTGGTGTACACACCAATATCACTTACCCCCCTACTAATGACGAGGACCTCGGTCCGATATTGGACGCTCATACAATGGATCAAGCTAGAACATTAGTGGCGCAAACCGTTAGACTCCATTAACATGCATAATCCATGAGGACTTCCTGACTTATTTGTACGCTGGTGTGCGGACGTAATTTTCTGCCGTGTTGTGGCATGACCCTTCGGTAACTGCTCATGACGCTCAACTTTCGCACCAATGCACCGATTTCCTTGAGTTATGGGCCTCCCTGCGGAGGGTGAAGCATTTGAGCAACAGCTTACCGTAGACTTTGAGGTAGCAGTAGCAGAAGGCATGGGGTGACGTGACCCTGATACAGCACCAATTTTAGCTATGACGGGAAAGCAAGACCGCTGTGAGGATCAGGAGTTCGAATACCTGCAGCAATCTGCAGTCAATCTCGCAGGCATGAGGGTAACACGCTGCGGCAACGAACGGGGGCCCCGAGACGTAGACTTCTATGCGGAGATACATTAGGCGGGCAGCAGTATTGGGAATCGATGTGGGCTGGACCCTGTCGATCGGCAGTCCAAATCGGAGAGATGTTAATCAAGTACACCAGCTGGAGTATACGGGAAGTCAATATTGTGAAGAACGAGCCACGAACGCCCGCAAAAAATACTTCCGTCGCTAGAACCAGGGCGCGACGCCGAAATCCGCCGCGATGTGACCGAAGGGCTGTACAAGAAGGGTGTGAGATGAGTAGCGAACCTTCTACGCATTGACTAGCTGAGGCCTGAGTTATTATGAGTCGAGCAGCCGCGGCGGTTCCTCGAACAGGTATACCATGGCGAACCATGGGTAGTGTGCGCCATACCGCCATAATACATGCTCCCTGCAACCAGTACAGCGCCCAGGTAAACCATTGACCGGGATCCGCTCGAGATGAACGCCTCAATAGCCTCAGGGGTGCCATTGATGATGCCGCGCATCCGGTGAATTTCGGGACGAGTGCCTCGCTTCTTCGGGAATGTGCGATAAAGCAATGCATGATTAGTTCATCATCGCCCCGCTGGGCACGCATGCATAGGGCCACGACCCTGATAGCGAAGTGGTATCTCGGTATATCGCCTGAGGGGTTCACGAATTTGGCATGTGGCATACACCTCGAAGCTTGATGTACGTCAAAGGCCGCCGTTATGCCGACTCACTGATACTCGCTGGTCGAAAGAATGAGGTAGTTGTAGGCGGCGGTGTAAGAGCTTGCGTACGGAGGACCGATCGTCGTATCGGAGCAGCTTACCTAGAAGTCCTGGTGTGTCAACTTTTGAAGCGAATGTTTGTGGCTGGAAAGGGTTCCAGCTAGAGGCACTTCGTGAACGGAGCGTAGGTAGGATTAGCCGGACACTGAAATCAGAGTAAGTATTCATTCGCAACATCGTCTCCGCCAGACGTACGCGTGGAGGGAACGTTCGTGGCAATGTTTCCAACCATGACTACACGCATGGAAGCAGCTGGGCATCGACTATAATGTACGTCGTACGCTTCCTTGCCTATATATATGGCATTGTCATGCGCAGAAGACTGTCGCCAAGAATGCGACCCGTAATATGTCGTGCCACGAAGAATTGAGTAGGCGAAAATTACCACAGCCAACGGAAGACGGTACATTGCGGGACGCACGATTGTGACTCGAGGCCTTGTCGCCGCATTCGAGTTGCGTACTACCTAAGGTAGTCAGATCCGTTGCCAAATATGTGTCTGCACCATCGTCACGCAAAGCCACGAGTCGTTCGTGGTGCCCTCTGCGCACTAGCTACCCTTTTTGTGAGGGAGGCAACGCTCTCGCCATATTTTTAGGCCTGAAAGCAACAGCATGAGATAAACAATAGCGATAATAATTCCGACGCTTGCATGACAACGTATAGTGATGATAGCGAGTCGACGGGCATGCGCGTGAGGCCACGCAACGATGTTTGGGAGTAAGCCATAGGATTCTCCGTGGTGATGGCGTCGCTCGGACGGTGACGGATTGCTTGGGCGAACGAGAGGCGGGATGTGAACGGCGCCAAGCCAGAGACCCCTGACACTGGATCGGATACAAGCCTTGAACCAACGCAGCGCCCCACGGCCCTTCCCATCGCCTCACTTCCCATAAGAACAACGGCCTGCTAATTCTTTGGACTCTACCTGACGCCTCCCTGTTAGCCCTATCCCTCGTTTCCCGACTACAGCTGCACCGCTCTGAACCGCGCTTTTTATCCTTCTCAGTCATGGCTGAACCACAGGACGCCACAACGGCCGAGGTGAAACGCACACTCAGCGTATCTGAAGGTGACAACCGCCCCTCTCGCAGAAGGACTACTACAAATAGGTCGGGGACCAACGGGCTCGCAGGGCCTACCACACGCACATCCAGTCGTCGCTCAGAAATCATCCGCAAGCTCACCATGCCTCCGAAGCCAGTAGGACAAGCGCCACCTTTTTGGCAAGGCGTTAAGGCCATTATCCTCGGGTCCTGTGAGACTTCACTTGCCTGCTTCATCGTGTCAGGTTCTGAGCTTCGATGCTGCAGGGCTGAATGTTCTACTTGTCTTCATCCCCATCTCGGTGAGTCCCAATTTGCGTGTCCCCATCATGGTGCCTCACTCTCTTTGTAGTGGGCATGTCACTTCGCACTGTCAAAGAGTAACGAGCACGACACTCTCATCTTTGTCTGTGCGTAAGATCTCCTGCCGTGACCTAGCTTTTATTGACGTGGGTTCCAGTCTCGTTCCTTGCAATCATCCCTTTGGCTAAGGTACGTTTCTGTTGTGGTAATGCATCTAACACAGTCCTCATCCGTCACAAGTTGCTTGCATTTGCGACCGACGAGCTGTCTATGCGTGTGGGACAGACTCTCGCAGGGCTTCTCAATGCCACACTGGTAGCTACTCTCGCCACAATCATTCATCTGCCTGTCTAACACCATCATATGTATAGGGTAACGCGTACGCTTTCCCACTCTTGCACAGCGTATTCCGAAGCTGACATCACCCATCGCCTTTTGTCCAGCGTCGAGCTGATTGTGGCTGTATGTACTTAGTATCTGCCATCCGCTATTGATTCCCGAATTGATGCGGGACCTTTCTCTCTAGATCATCGCGCTCGTCCAATGTCAGCTGCAAGTTGTCCAAGCGTCCCGTACGTGATTTTCCGAATGTAGCTGCCTATATGGGCTGCCGCCTAGCTGTCGATCACAACTAACGTTTGTTGTATTCAGTTATCGGCTCTATCTTGAGTAACCTGCGTGCGTCCATCAAACCACAAGAGGCGCTCTTTGAACATTGGTTGCTGATTTGGTGCTTGCCAACACAATGCCTCCCGTACTGCAGTGCTCGTCCTCGGAATGTGTTTCTTCGCGGGCGGTACAAGGTTCTCAGAGCAGGGCTTCGGTGTCAGTGCGTATTGGTTTTTCTGCCGTTCTCTGCCGGGCTGCGCCTGCGCCGGGGCTGTGTAGGAAGATTACTCACGTCCACCGCTCCCGCTCCGTGCCACCCGCAACCACACCCGATCCGTTCGTCGCACTGTGGTACTGGCTGCACGGGTACATTCTGCAGGTGTCGTGCAGCTCAATTCCTCACTGCTGATAATTTCCGTCATCGCTGTCCTCCTCCCGGCTGCTTTCCACACAGCTGCCGGCGCTCAAATCCCGGATGGTCCGGAGGCGAAGGACATTCTGGCAGTCAGCCACGGGGTGAGTTCCTGCGCTGCCGGTGTCCGGCAATGTCATGCCTAGAGTATCGCTGACGACGTGTCCACGTATTGTGCTAGGCGGCTATCATCCTTCTCTTCAGTGCGTGCCATTCCTTTCTTCGTCTATCCGGCCAGGCTAACATAAATGCTTCTATTCAACCTGTCCACCGCAAACCATCCATTTCCATATGATACAGTTTATGGGTCGTACTTGGTCTTCCAGCTGTTCTCGCACAAGGATCTCTATGATGACAAAAACCCGGACATCTTCAAGTCTACTAAGTACCAGAAGAGGAACCGCAATGCTGCCGCTAACGGCGACTCTACTTCCGCTGATGGGTCCTCAGTGCCCTTGAACCGCATTACTAGTGGTAGTCTCGCGGGTTCCCCCCCGTCCAGTCCTTCCACTGGCCACCAAGAGCTTCCCCGGAACGGAGACCCTGAGAGTGACCCTGCTTCTCAACCTACTTCAGAGGGAGAGGAGGAGGAGACCCCTCAGATGAGCGTTCTGCTTACGATTGCTCTGCTCACCGTGGTGACTGTGGTACGTCCGGCCTGCCTTCCCGGATGCCCATGCCCGTGCTCTCTGTCAGACTCGTCGACGCTGACGTTTTTTGCTACGAAACATCAATAGGTCGTTGCGGTGACCGCCGAGTTCCTCGTTGATTCCATCAATGGTCTGACCGCAAGTGGGCACATCAGCAAGACGTTCGTTGGGCTCATTCTGCTCCCTATCGTTGGTAACGCCGCAGGTACGCCGCTGCAGCACTATCCCCGAGTGTGGCCGATCCGAGCTGATGTCGGCATCCTCTTTCTCATCTCTGCTCCCGTGCGCTTTCCTGGCCACAGAACACGTAACGGCTGTCACTGTGTCCGTGAAGGACAAGCTCACGCTGTCTCTCGGTGTCGCGGTTGGTTCGAGTATTGTAAGTCGTACGCCCCCAAACACCCTCCTATATTGACATGCATGAAATGCGTCACACAGCAAATTGCGCTATTCGTTATCCCGTTCATTGTCACCCTCGGCTGGATCCTCGGCAAGCCCATGAGCATGTTGTTCGACCCATTCGAGTCCATCGTCCTGTTCCTGTCCGGTGCGTGCATGTTCTCCACTGATGAGTTATACGTGTGAGGCCCGTGCTGACTTCTGCGCTTGTGCCCGCAGTGCTTGTGGTGAATTACGTCGTGCAGGACGGTAAGAGGTGGGTCGATTCCCATATAACATGGTGGCGCGACGGCACTTGCATCGTCGTGATGCACACTTTATGCGCGCTTCACGCGTCTCCACTTTCCGTTTGCTCCATTGCTCCGAACGCATTGCTAACACGTTTCTAATCCTCTCCGCGACGCAGCAACTGGCTAGAAGGAATGATCCTCATGTGTCTGTATGTCATCGTCGCCGTCACATTTTGGTACTACCCTGGTGCGTTTCCTGTCCTGTCTCTGCCAATTCCTTCTGAGCTCATTGTCGCTATTTGCGCACCTCTAGGAGTCGTGGACCTCGCCCAACTCAACACATGCTGAGATGCCACGCACTTGCTCGCGCTAGAGGACTCAATTCAAACGCATGCGTACCTCCTTATCTTATTGTGCCATGGGACATAACGACGATCTTTCTTTACGACGGACTGACTAATGTGTAGCTGTACCGTATTGGCTTGCTTCCGGTCGATGACATATACCACCGCCCTCGGGATACCTTCCACTCGGAATAATCATTGCACCTTAACCAGTCGCTCCTTTTCCTACACCCCTCTTTGCACCCGCACCGAGTCTCATGAACAAACTAGCTTCGGGTATGGGTCCATACTGTTCTGGTTCATTCTAACAGAGTGCAGTATACCCCAGGGATCTCGACGTAGGAACCATGTACACACGCATGTTCTGCGAATGCTCGGAATGCTATGCCCTTGTCGTCCGCCATGCTCCGCTGTGCAGGCTCGTCTCAAGTAGAAGTACAATTAGGGTAGCGGCAGTGGGAGATAGCATATACAGGATAAGTGCACGTCATGTCCGGATAGAGTTCGCGCCCGCATGAGTTAACGCCCCGAAAATTCTCAAAGCTTCGCCTTTAGTGGGGTGTCCGGGTTGGCGAGCGTTGCCGCTGCTGCTGCGAGAACCGTCGTCTGACGTTCCTTAACCTTGGTGGCTGGGGGGTGAAAACAAATACCGCCGCGTTAGCTGTATTCGTTTCCCACAGAACACTGCCCCCGGCAGCGGGAGTACGCACTAAAGATAACCTTATCGCCTTCTTTCCACATCTCGGTCACGAGAGTCTCTCCCGGATAGACTACGCCCGCGAATCTATGCGAACGTGCGCCCAACGTCAGCAACAGCATAGCCGGATACAGGACCAACGTGCGAGTATGAGCAAGCGCGCAAGCGGTGGGGAAAGGTACTTACCGCACTTTGATGTCCGTGAACTCGCCGAAGGACTTGAGAACGTGCTTGCCCGAGATGCCCATAGAGCAGAGTCCTGATATAGTAGGCACAATGGTCAGCTAACGACGGACACGAACAAGGACGTTTGACAAATTGGGCAGATAATTACCGTGCAGAATAGGCTTGTCGAACCCACCGACGGCGGCGAATTCGGGGAGGATCTTCAGCAGCGCAGAGGGTGTCAGCAGACCAGCGGAAATGAGCAAGGGCTACGCGGAACATAACATACGTGGAGGGGGTTTGAGTCGCCGCTCAGGCTGGGGTGGCCGCGCGGTCAGCACGGTGCGCGAAAGACTCCAAGTGTAACGCCATGCTCACCGGTACAACGCAGCCTGGATAGGGAGTGTCTTCTCTTCGACCACCGCGTCCGGCTTCCGCTTAGGAATGGGATTCTCTGCGGACGCCGCGCCGCGGTCTGCACGCAATGTGGTGGAGTAAGGAAATGAAGAACAGCGGGTGTTCAGCAAGGCGGACACCGGCCCTCGCAGACAAAATGAGATACGCACCCTTGCCTGTCCGCTTGCCCCCAAAGCCGCCCGAGCCACGGATGAACATGGTGGACTGGTTCTCGAAGATGACCTTGCCCGTGTGCTTGTCCTTTGTTACGACGATGGCGGTGACGGCAGCGGCCTTGCCCTTGTCCAGAACCTCCACTAGCCTGTCTCTGGCCTCAGCGAGCCTCCTCTCGGTCTGTACGCTCGCTGTACTTACCTGGCCTCGTTGACGAGCTCGCCGCTAGTCGGGATAGGTGCCTTGATGGACAGGTACTGCTCGCCATGGAGCAGCTTCGCCTGTACGTCAACGGTGCACACACGAGAGCCCGGACTGGTCAGAAACGGGGAACACACTACGTCAGCAAGTGTGGGCACAACTCACCGGGTTGAAGTTGGGCAGGAAGTCGAACGAGAGGCCCGCGCTCGCCTGGAACTGGGGGATGACGCCGAACGTCGGCAGCGCGGCGAAGTCCTCGTGGTTCTCGTACGTCCACTGCAGCTCCTGCTCGGTCGCGCCGATGCCGAGATTGTACAGGATGACGTCGCGCTCTGTGTAGCTGTACTCGACAGGCTCCGGCACCTCCTTCTTCGCCTCCGCGACGACCTCTGAATCCTCGGGGTCCGCGTAGGGACTGTCGGGGGAGCCTGGGTCTGAGCCGCTCGCGGCGTTCTCGTCGACGTTGCCGAAGTTCTCGGCGATCTGCATGAACGCCTCCTGGGTGCTCGCAGGGTTCGTGGCGCGGCCGTCGTCTGCGGACCCCGTGAGCACTCGGTGCGGGGACAAGAGAACTGACCTGACGTGCTTACCGAAGTCAGTGAGGACCTTCCACTTTGCAATGATGTCTTCAGGCTGCAACGGCTTGTTGACGGGGAAGCCGTGCCCACCAGCACGCTGCCACTGGATCTGCGCAATCCAACCACCTGCGATCTGGAAGATGCCACCAGTCGTCTCGTCGTTCGCATCGCTGCTGAGGTAGCCAACGAGGGGTGCGATGTACTCCTCCTTGACTGCCTCTATGTGATGGCCGGCTCTAGCAGGACGATCAGCACACACCGTCCATGCCGACCAGGGCGGAACCGATCATGCATCGACTTACCGACCAAGCCCTGCAGCGGCACCCGCGGAAGGGATGACAACGTTCGCAAAGATGTTGTACTTCTTTCCCTCGATGGCCAGCGTCTTGGTGAACCCGAGGATACCGGCCTTCGCGGTGGAATAGTTCACAAGGCCAGGCAAACCATCTTGTTCATGTGGTCAGCATTGTCCCGATTGTCCCCAGAAAACCCGACTCACAAAGACCGGACTGGGAACCCATGGTGACGATGCGACCATACTTCTGCTTGAGGAAGATGGGCCAGAGGGCCTTCGCGCACTGTCCACACCCGAATCAATCTCTGCATGGCGTCCTCTCCTCGCGGCGAACCTCACCTTATACGTAGACCTGAGGTGGACCGCAAGGACCTCGTCCCAGTCCTTCTCGGACAGCTTCTCAAACGCGCTCGGGCGTGCGAGGCCGGCGTTCGCCACAAGGACGTGTGCGCCCCCAAACTTGTCCAGCGCGGTCTTCACGATGCCCTCGCCGTCCTCGGCGGACGTCACCGCGGCGACGGCCTTCCCTCCAGCTACGCAGCGCATATAAGTATCGGGGGAAACCAGGCATGCAGCGTGAAACGCACCCTTCGTGATCTCGTCGACGATGGCTTGGGCAGCCTTGCCGTTGACATCGTTCACGACGACGTTCGCGCCGAGACGCGCGTACAGCAGTGCGTATGCGCGCCCGAGCCCGGACCCGGCACCAGTGACGATGACAGTCTTCCCGTCGAAGCGGACTTCTTGCGATGCTTGCGGGTTCTCGGTGACTTTCGAGGACTCCGCGATTTTAGCCTGCCAAAACATCAGCATCGTCGAATTAGACAGACCCGCCGAAGTGTCTTGCCTTGATATCGAAATCAGGGAGACCCTGTGGGCTACACCACAAGGCTTGAGTCGGGTCCCAAGCTCTCAGTAGGGGGATGCAGAGGCTTACTGTTCTGGATCAGTTTCGAAGTCTGTGATTTGTTCCCACTTCTCTTGGACCTGATGTTCCGATGCGCATGAGCATGAGCAACATACGTGAACACCTCAACAGACTGCCACTTACGGCAGAGGGCGTAAACGTCTTGTCCGTCTTGAACACCGCGCCCTTGCTGCGCTCCCACCGGATCTCCGCGATGAAGCCCGCGCCGACCTCGAAGATCTTGCCGCTCGCGTCCGGCGCGTCTGGATGGGTGATGGCAAGAACAAACGGCGCGACGAACTCGGGCTACAAGAGGAGTGGAATGTTCATAGATTTGCTTATTGAAGCCAATGCCGAGTACTTACCTTCAAGTTCGCCAGCATTTCTGGCGGCATGATGGTTTCTGTCATTGCAGAAGCCGCCATCTGCATAGGCGATGGTGAGAGACGGATTGCATGGCTGGATTAGAGTAGACACACGTACGGGAGCGATCACTGTTGCTCTAATGTTATACCGGGCACCCTCTGCAGCGAGTGCTTTCGTGAAACCAACCAGAGCCATCTTTGCAGCACTGTAGTTGGCCTGTCCAAAGTTGCCTGTGTGTGATGACAGTAGGATATAAATTCACGGCGCAGGTAGTAGAAGAGATAGGCCGGAACGCACCGTACAAGCCTGCTGCACTGGCGGTGTTCACTATGCGACCGAAGCCCTGCTTCTGGAAGTGGGGCCACGCAGCCTTAGCGCAAGCATAGGAGCCCTTCAAGTGCACGGCCATGATCTGATCCCATTCCTGGTCGGACATGTTCTTGAAGCTGCATGTCCAAGGGGATATAGCTGAGCCACGCGGAGGAGACTGGACTACACGCACCCCTTGTCCCGTAGGATACCGGCATTGTTGATGAGGATAGTGACGTTACCGAACGCATCGAGGGCGGTCTTAATGACCGCTTCGCCATCGGTTGCTGAAGAGTTGTTCACGACAGCCTTGCCTCCGTCTGCAGGGTAGTGGTGGGCTCAGCTTCTGACCCGGGAGCAATTGTCTTCGACACACACCTTTCGTGATCTCATCCACGACCTTCTGTGCCGCGTCCTTGTTGAAGTCGTTGACGACGACGTTCGCGCCTTTGGCCGCAAAGAGCAGCGAGTAGCTGTGTATGACATCGCCGCGTTACTGTCAGCGCGCCTGCCACCGCCAGAGGCGAGTGTATGTGTACGTACGCCTTGCCAAGACCTCCTCCTGCACCAGTAACGATCACTGTCTGGCCTTTGAATGAGAGTTGCGGCATGGTGAGGATGTGTACTGGTGGAAAGTTGCGAACTGGAGGATGAGAGAAACGCTACGACCCCAGATGAGCGCGGGGTTATAGCGTCCTTCCCCGCATGTGATATCGCCCTCCCGGACATCTAGACTTCGCGCCCACGTGAAACGGGGGGGCGCCAGCTGTCAATGTCATCACAAGCATTGGTCCGGGCACGCGAGCTTATTCTTGTTTGTCCAAGTACTACATATGCACTTACAACATCGCCAGACCAGAGAAGCAACTGCACTTCTGTCTTCTCCGGCAACGATACATGCACCTCATCCAATCTTTTGAACATCCACCCCTTGTCCCACTCTCTCAAACATCCCTCGATCTCTTTGAATCATAGCGTCCGTGCTACGGCGTTCGACATCTTGACCGGCAGCCACATCTCAAAGCCCTTCAAGTACTCTTCGCCACCGCTTGCCTGGCCCGCTGTGCTCTCCATTGCGTCTCGCGTCGCCCAAGCCAACCCACGCTCCATCCACTTTCACTCGACACCTCTTCGCAGGTGCTCAGCATGGACTCACATCCTGACCACATCGTACGTCCTCGCAGCATCCACACCACGAGGATGCACATTTGCTGCAGCGTCCCTGCTTGGCTTGCTTCTTGTGTCGGTCAGTCAACTAGTGATCATGTACCAAACACGGACATCCCGCGCTTGTCATTCAATTGGCATATACCAATTGTCATGCACATGAAAGACATGAAGAATGGTCCCGGGAGGTCGAGGACTCGGAGTCCGCGTATGCCTGCACGCGCAACGGGACGGTCTGATCTCCTGTACGACGCGTTGCGCGCACGTCGGGGCTCGAACTTCGCTGGCAATCGCCGATGGGCCAAATGGAAAGTGCAGTTTCTCCGAGGCTTCCGAAAAATTTCCGCTGGTCCACTACGTCGCTTTCTGTGCGGACGAGTGACGGACCAGTCCACGACGATCTAGCGCTCACGCACGATGTAAGTTCCTACTGCTACTCGTTACATTCGCAATGGATCTAGTGTCGTTGCAATCTGGCATCCTTCACCGCTCGAGAGCACGTATATGCTCTCTTACCGAGTGCCGTTCAGGAGCCATACGACTCCGCCGGCCTCCTGCGGCCCCCAAATTCCAGTCTTGTCTCGTCTCAAGCCTTCGTACATCTCAGCCGCGAGATGGGGCATATCGCAACAACACGACCCTCGCTTCCTGGGGCACGGGACCATGGCCCTTGGCGTCATGCGTGGATCTCTCATGACATGCCATCCATACACTGACTCACGTTTACCCGCCTGGGCTGGGCATGCCGCCCACTGCTTCCAGCATAAGACGCCAGGAGCTCGAGCCTCTGAGATACTCACCAATCTGTACCATGGCTACGACTCAATCCCCAGCAATCTCGTCCCTAGGATTCGCTGCCCCGATTCCCGTCGACCAGAGGCAGGCGTCCGCCACCACCCCCATCGACGAGGGCTTAAAGGACAACCTGTCCATGGAGAAGGGCGAACACCCTCTCCAGAATGAGGATACAGCTTTCCCAATGCTTACGAAGGCCCAGCGCCGCAAAAGCTGGCTGCAGTTCGGCGCCCTCTGCATGGCCATATACGTCGCAGGCTGGAACGACGGTACAACCGGACCTCTCATTCCTCGGCTTCAGGAGGTCTACCATGTATGTGATGGCCCTTACTCTTATTGGAACATATATGCACACTCATGCACACACACTCACAGGTCAGTTACGCCGTGGTATCACTCATCTTCATCGCCAATTCTATCGTGAGTCCGCGACCTGCAAACCTTACTACTTAACTACATTGGCCTGCTTAGGGATTTATCTCCGGTGCTTCCGTATACATGTACCTCACAGACCGCTTCGGGTTTGGAATGGTTGGATGGCACTTCATCCCTTCTAATTTGACCAACGCTTATCACAGTATCCCTCTGCTATCCAGATGATGTTTGTAGGTGAGAGCCGGCTTCACCGAAGCCTGAAGCAGCAGGAATTACTAACGGTCGGGGCCGATTCAGCGTCGCTCATCGTCGCCGTCGGGAACGCCCTCCAGGCATCCGGCGCACCTTTTCCAGCGTTCGTCATCGGCTTCCTGTTCGCAGGCTTCGGAGGCGCATTCCTGGTGAGTCACTCACGTTCGTACCTCTCGGCTGTAGGACGCGCTGTCGACCACCGTGCCGCAGGACGCGGGCTCCAACGGATACCTCGCCAGCCTGTCCGAGGACACGTCCACCAAGATGGGCATCATGCACGCCGTCTACGGGGTCGGCGCGATGTGCGCTCCGCTGGTGTCCACGCAGTTCGCGAGCCTGCCCCGGTGGCATCTCGTATACCTCATTCACATCGGGCTCGTCGTCACGAACGGGATCGTCCAGGCCTTCACGTTCAAGTTCAAGAGCACGGACGGTGAGTGCGCCGCGGTGCAATCTCTCCCTTCCCCCGCCGCGTACGCCCCATCTGAGCCAGGACGCTGACGTAGTGGCACGTTGCGTATGACGGCGGCAGAGTGTCTGAAAGAAGTCGGTCAGCAGCCGCACGAGAAGACGGAGGACTCGCTGCAGGGCGTGAGCAAGTACAAGCAGGTCTTCCGCCTCCGCGCCGTGCACCTCATGGCGTTCTTCCTGCTCACGTACGTCGGCGTCGAGGTAACCATCGGCGGCTGGATCGTCACGTTCGTCATCAACGAGCGCCACGGGGGACACAGCTCCGGGTACATCTCGTCCGGCTTCTGGGGCGGGCTGACCATCGGCCGGCTTGCCCTGCTCCCGCTCAACAAGAAGGTCCGTCTGTTCTCGATCTCTCAGCAGACAATTATATGATCCGGAACCGGCCTCCCCGCAGCTCGGCGAATGGCGCGTCATATTCCTCTACGTCCTCTTGAGCCTCGGGTAGCTCTCCCCTTCCCCCCCTTCCAGCCGTCCTCTCACGAAGCCGTGTCCACAGGCTAGAGCTCATTGTCTGGCTCGTCCCGTCGCTCGTCGGCGACGCCGTCGCCATCTCCTTCGTCGGCTTCTTCCTCGGGCCCATCTTCCCCATCGTCATGAACCACGCGGGCAGCGTCCTGCCCCCCGAGCTCATCTCTGGCTCCATCGGCTGGATGGCCAGCTTCGGTTCCGCGGGCGCGGCGGTGTTCCCGTTCGTCACTGGCGCAATCGCGTCGGGGACGAGCATCAACAGCTTGCAGCCTCTGTGAGTGCTCTCTTCTCCGGTCTATCCTTGAGCCAAGGGCAGAGAGGACGATGGTGCGGGACAACACTGACGGCAGATGAGGCAGGTTAATCGCGATGATGGGGCTGTTGCTCGTCATCTGGGCGTTCGTCCCGAGGCATCGTATCAAGTCCACCTGGGATCACAGTGTATGACGTCTCCTTTCTCTGCTTGGGTCTGCTGGGTTTGTCGCGGTTGCCGCATCGCGTCAGGGTTTCACGAGTTTGTACGGTGAGTCAAAGGCGTCTGTTGCCCATCAATGCGTCCTCTCAAGCCGACTTGACTGTTGCAGTTTGATTGTCATGCCATTAACCTCATCATCTGCCTTGTCAGAAAGAGTCAAGCCGAATCGTCTGCCGAGTGTCACATACATACAAAGCATGTGGAAGGCGGGGACTAAGTACTACCACGAGCTCGTATGTGGTTGGTGATATCGATGCTGTCCTCTCGTAAGGTTATTGCACGACTCGCACGATTAGAGGATCGTGAATAGGGGCGCGATGCGTAGTTGAGTACTAAAGCTTTGCCACAGGAGGCTTCCCTAGCGCCCCCTCTTCGCGAAGCGCTGCCATGTCGTCACTGCTCAGCCCGAGTTCGGATAGAATCCGTTGTGTATGAGCGCCTGGAGGGAGATAGGACGATTCTGCCCAGTTCGAAGAGGTCGGCGATGGTGAGAGGACAGAAGGAGTCCTCGAGAGACCTGGGTGGGGAGGAGGGACCACAGCGTTTCGAGATGGAGTCGAGGCTATGGCTGCTGCTTCGCTTCTTTCGAGGACCGGAAGGACGCACGCGTCGGTGCCTACACGGACTCAGTCAATACACGATTCACAATGCGTGGACTTGAGATGACGACGGACCATGGAACACGTTTGTCCAGTAGTCGCGAGGTTGCAAACTGAAGCCCCGCTCCAGGAACGTCTTCAAACGAGGCCATATATCTCTGTCTTGTTGATCCGCTTCCGACGGCCGCCATCCACCTATAGAAAAGTCTTTCGGCAGGGCCCCAAGGAAGCGCGTGAGAAAGGTTCGGAAGAACTGGGGCTCCAAGCACGCTACGGACACCCATCGTCCGTCCGCGCAGGTGTAAACATTGTAGAAGGGACAGCCGCCATCCAGGAGACCACCTGCCCTAGTCTCTCCGAATGTAGGCAGCTGGAGCTGCGATAGCAGAAGCGGGTACGAAGCAAGATAGCGTACTCCGGTGACCTGCGGGAGGATCAGCGAGACCGTTCCTGCTGATGTCCCAACAATGAACAAACCATGTCTGTGTCCACAACTTGTCCAACACCGCTTCGAGTGCGTTCGAAGAGTGCCAACAGGATACCAACCACGCACATCAGCGCGCCCCCTGCAAAGTCAGCCAGGAGATTGAGAGGGAACTCAGGTTTACCCTCCCCAGGGAACATCTGGTTGGTCAAGTGAACGTCAGCAACGGCCTGCAGGCGGCAGTGCTGATACGAACAGACAGGACGCCGCTTATGGCGAGGTAGTTCAGGTCGTGGCCTGCCCATAGGGCTCATTAATGCAAAGACGTAGCACTGTGATTGTAGTCACCAACCCGCCATATCCTTGTGCGGACCTGCATGGAAAGAGTGTTAGCACCAGCACAAAGTAGCCCATATCATGTACCCGCCTGTCCGAGGGAACCCTACCAGCCGCGCGTACACCAGCTTCTCGTTCACACCTTTACTTTTCGTAGCCGGATTTCCGAGAAATACTTCCGGGCCCAGCTTGAGACGTTCCATGACCCCCGGCCGGAAGGGGTCTATCAGGACGTCCGCCCGTTCCACAAGCTCCCGGACGACGGCATACCCGCTCCGAGTCTGTATGCGCAGCTGTGTCAGTGGGAACTACCGGAAGCTAAGGGTCCCTTTGAGGACAAGCCTTGGGGTTGATAGCGATGGATCGCTTCCCCCTGCCCAGGATGTCTGTTGTAGGGACAGCACTGGCAGTGGGGCGGTCGATACGGACAACGTCAGCACCGAAGTCGGCCAAGATCATCCCTGCCATTGGTCCAGGCGCGAGTCCTGCGAACTGGAGGGTGATTGAGCTGTGTGCTGAGGAGCAACTGAAGGAAAGACGGATTACCTCGACGACTTTGATCCCCGCGAGGGGGAGGTTGTTCCTGGACGCCCTTACCATAATCGCGGTCGAATGAAGAACATCAACGTATGTCAATGAGCTCGCTTTCAAGTAATCAACCCAGAAGATCTCCCGTGATGTGTCGGTTCTCATATGCTCGAGGACGGTCACAAGACGGCTCTCGGGCTGTAACATGCCGTAGCCCTCGTGATCTCAGCTAGTAGGAAGCATTCAAGCTCAAGGCTCGTAAGTACGTCTGCAAGAAATCTCGACAGTATGCCGATGGTGAGGTCTTCAAACGTATGGTTCATCGGGAGGGCCTTTCGGGCATTCCTGGCTACCTGAGTATGTACGTACATGTGTAAGATTGGCCCGGTGCACAACCTACTGCTATGTCACGGCGTTACGAAGCACGTGAAGCAGGGCGCCAAACATATTAACTTGTTGATTAAAGCCGATAAGTAGGTGGGAGTGTCGCGCAGAGGAGAGAGTGGTCAACTGGACAAGTAGAGGGGAATATGTAGCATTAGCGGAGCACACATAGTATAGTTATAACACGAATAAAGATAATGGGGTAGGGATCATTAGTTGTCCGGAGTGATGCCTTCCCGATCGAGCTCCTCAAGAATGTCGTTTGGAAGGACGCGGTGGCTACGATATTTCTTCGTGATGCCCAGCTGGGCCGGGAAGCGCACCTCCGATGCCAATGGCAGCACATTCTCCTTGTCTCCGGTTCCTCGGCTCCTTGCAGGTTGCCGTGACGGTACTCTTACAGTGATTTGCAAAAAACACTGCAGGTCGCATCCGCGCGGCGAGCTATTTGCCCATGTTTGTTCCCGGGCGTTTACGGCGCGAACTTCTGTTTCGGGCACTGGGCGCTCAGGACCATTGTATCTATTATAACAATGCTTGAGTTGGCAATTCCATGGCTGCTTCGGAATCAAAGGGAATTAATTTTCCTACATCCCTCCTTGTACTCTATCAGATTCAAATGCAAATAAGTACAGAGAATGTTGAGCCGTTCCGTCCCGGGCAAGCGCTTCCCGGGGATGCCAATTAGGAACAAATAGCCTTGCCCACGCGCGCGACCTGCAGTGTTTTTTGCAAATCACTGTAACCTCTTCTGGGCATAGTGTCCAAGATTTTCGATGGAGTTACGATCCCGTAGAGTTCGCTTTGGCATATTCGGAGGCAAGGGCGTAGGTGCCCTGCCAGCTGGTATGTTATTTTCCCTTTCCTAGACTTTACTGGTTTTTGGACATATCATACAGCGCCTTGCATAAGTCCGTGAACGCGCGGATTTTTTTCTCTCCGGCGTCTAAACTACCCGACCTGCCTAAACAGGCCATATCATGGTCACAGGGACTACTCCATGACAGCGCATCACGGCCCCGTTGGTTGACCACACGCATACCCAGGTAAATCCACAATGTTTTGAAGTATGGATATGCGTGCGGTACTTCCATGTCTGTATTTGAGTTCCCATTGGCCCCCCAGGGGATCCTGTACCCTGATCTAAACAGGAGGTACCATAGTAAAGGTGCAGTCGCATATACATGATCATGCCTGAGTCAGTGCAGTAGCTTCAACGTGTTCTCGACATGTTTCATCAACCATATGCATGTCCAACTCTCAAGCATTTAGGAGTGACTTGAGGCTGGCCACCCACAGCATCGCAAGTGATGTAATCATTGGCAAGGGCCCGTTTGATATGATCTCGTGCAGTGACTGTTGCCCTCATGCAAACTATCTCCGTGCACCATAAACACCGTATGACTACAAGTACTTATGCGCGAGTCTACTGGGCCCATAGCATACTCACTCTTGGAAATGCCAGTGGCCCAGCGAGCAGGCTCAGCCTCAGGGGAGCTCTCACTACAGGCACCGCCTCGAATCGCTCTTTGTCAAAGGGCTGTAGAACCTCTGAGCAAGTACAACTTTCCCATTGCCGACCCTTCAGCGTCCTTTGGCACACGTCGGCAAAGGGACAAGTTACGACTGTCCCGAAAACAAACCTCCGTTTCACGCGAAGGGATCCCGAGCGCTGCCCATCGTGTCTGGGCCTGTGACTATGATGTGGCCTGTTTAGGCAGGTCGGGTAGGGTAGACGCCGGAGAGAAAAAATCCCGCGCGTTCACGGACTTATGCAAGGCGCTGTAAGCTGAAAAGAGGGCCCACCGCAGAGCCTATAGTTTTTTCATCATTCATGCCTGCCAAACGAAGCCCCAGCGTGACAATTCCGACCACGTGACGCCCTAGATTGTGCACCGGGCCAATCTTACCTATTCAAGACACACGTGATCAACGTTTCTCGAGCGTCTATACGGTTCAGACCGCGTTCCACGTCACCCCGCTCTAGTGCACTATGGCGCCCGGGACTGTGCGAAACCCACAGGGGAAATCCGAGGAAATAGTGCGGTCCGGCCAAGGAAATGGAGCAGAAAACCCTGGTCGAACACCGGTTTATGGACCAGCAAAAAGTGCGTCAAGATGACGGCTTTCCACGGTCAATCTGGCGTGGTCTCAGACAGGAGAAAAACCTCGCTTAGACAGCGGGTCAGAAGGGCGGGATTTACATCTGTAAAACATGGGAATTTGCACGGTTTCCGGGTGCCGGATCCTCGCTTGCGCCAGCTGGATATCAATAGGGAATCAATTATGATGCAGTACAAGAGTGTAGCTAAACACGCTGCAGATTGCAGCGTTACGGTCGCATTACGGCATGCTGAGTACATAGTACAGGTAGGGTTATCAATATAAACTATGCAAGCTCGAGACCCTCTGGTACTCTCAATGACCATGTCCTTTTGACCCTTGCCACTCCTGCAGTACATCCATGCCAACGCTAAGGACACATATGGGAGTTTGGGTAGACGGAGTCAGATATTCAGGGAAGAGCAGCAAATACTCACCGGGAAGAATGCAGATATTTGAGAAGAGTGACTTACCTGATCGATATCTTTGCCAGAATGGCCAAACAACATAGCTGGACTTACCTGAGAAACTCACAACTCTGAAGATTGCGACTTACCTTATGCCGACCGTCCATCACTGGGCTCTGCCCGACAACTCTGGTACTGTATGCACACCCCAGGAACGGTGATAAAGGGGGCCAAGAAATGTAGACACGACAGCAGTCATGCACCCAACGCACCCTAAGATAGTTCCATGAAAGTCAGATGTCACAAGCAATAGGAGAATGTCGATGCAGACAAGAGAATGGTCAGAATCAGGGCGACTGGCATTTGGCGCCCATGTTTAGGGCCGGCACATGCAGGATTGTTTGCGGATACCGAGAGCAACCGTGGAATAACCCCGTTCAGCTTGGCGTCTCAGGTGGTAAATCTCTACGGATGTAAAAACACGTTGCCGCCGCGGATAACTGACGGGTGATATTCAACGGTGAGATCCCATTTCCACGGTGCGACCGTTGAACGCACTTTTTGCCTTGTCGAACCGGGGGTTTTCCGGGGCGGTCCGAGGCCCA